TATGAATCATGTACCCCTTAGTGTCTACCCCACTACAGCCTACATAGGCTAGGTCATATATATATGACAGTGCGTGTAGGTACTGTAGTGATTTGTGGTCTGTCCGTACTCTCACGTCTGCGCCGGTCAAGTAACAGCGCCACACTTAAAACGCATGCACGATCGCGAGCATTTAGCGGTCGTGTACTGGGTAATTCTTCTCGGGCGGATGCAGTTTTCGTGACTCGTATGCGATGGGCTGTAAACCGTTGCCGAAATCCTGTAGCAGTACGCCTCCAATGGCGATGTCGCTTGCGTCTGTAACCACTTCAAATGGGCGGTGTGGATCGGCGATGCGCAGTACGGGCGGTGAACAGAGTATTTTTCAGGGCAGAGAAGGCAGCATGCTCTTTCTCCCCCCCACGTAAAAGCGACCCCCTTCCGCAGTAAATCCGTCAGCGAGGCAGTTAAGCGTGCCATGTCGGGGACAAACCGACGCACATAATTAACGAAAACCCTAAAAAACTCTGTAGGTCCATGATATTCGTCGGGGGGTGCCACGCTTTCACCGTGTCCAGCTTCTTTGGGTTGATCTCAATTCCAGCCTCCAAAATAACGTGCCCCAAAAATTCTAACCTATTATGGAAGAACTCGCACTTGGAGCCCTTGGTCAGTAGTCTGTGCTCGTCTAAAATTTTAAACACTGCTTCCAGATCTGCTAAGTGCTGCTGTTTATCACGACTGTAGACTAGGATGTCGTCGAGGTAAATTATCACGCATTTATCTAAGAGCGGCCTAAACGTCGCCGGTGCGTTGGTCAGCCTGAATGGTATCACGGTGTACTCGAATGACCCGTACCTAGTTCTAAATGCCATCTTGGCGTAGTCCGATGGTTCGACCCGAATCTGGTGGTAACCTCCCAGTAAATCTATTTTCGAAAGGACCCGTGCTGTTCGCAGTTGATCTATCAGTTCGTCGGCGCAGAGAATAGGGTATCGCGACTTGACTGTTACCCTGTTCAGTGCTCTGAAATCGATACATATACAAAACCCTCTGTCTTTTTTCGGTGTGAATAGTATCGGCGCTGCGAACGGCAATGAACTCGATCGGATGAATTTCTTCTCTAACAGGTAATCGAGCTGCTTCCTCAGTTCATCGAGCTCGGGCTGTGTCAGTCGAAACTGTCGCTGTATAGTTGGTTGTGCCCCGGGTTCTAATTCTATTCGGTGATCATGCGCCCGCTGGGGTGGCAGTCCCTCTGGTAAATCGTCCGGAAAAATCCCCGGGTACCGTTTCAACAGTTCCTGTAGTTCGTGCTGTACCGCTGCCAGCAGTTTCTGAAAATCACTCAGCTACTCTGCTTCTCCTACCAATACGATATCCGCCACGTACACGTCGGCTCCAGCGGCGACAGCCCGTTTCATTGTGATGGCGTTGATGTGGACCGTTGAAGATTCGGGCGACTGCCAGCGAGGTAGCTCGACCCAGTTACCGCTACTTCACACAGTGCAGCTACCCGTCGTCCAGTCGATTCACGGATTGTAGCGTCGCAGCCAATCACGTCCCAGTAAAATGTCATGCCCATCCAGTGTCGTCGCGAGCATTTCCTGTATAAACCCGAAATTTCTCCCGCAGCAGACTTTTACTCTCTCCACCTTTTCCCGTATGGCCAGCGGCGTGCCATCGACTAAGCGTGCATCTATCTCCGGTAAACACCGACTAAGTGTCATTTGCAGCTTCCGTGCGGTTGCGGTATTGACTAAGCTGTGACTTGCTCCTCCGTCTATAAAAATCTTCACTGCTGCTCCCTGGATTTTCCCGTGAATCAGTACTGGGCAATCCGTCGCTGTACCTTCCTTATTCATCCGAGCCCGATCAATAGCGTGAATCGGTACTGTGACCCGGTGAGGGTCGGTGAGGTTGGGCGAGCAGGTTGTCTCGTCAGTAGTTGGCCCGATTTCTACTGACTGCTCGCGTTTCTCTGCCTCTGTGACTCCCTCCCCTGCTCTGCTCCGCGGCGCCTCAGCTCCTCTGGGCATTTGCTCTTGCGATGGCCCGGCATGTTACAAGCAAAGCAGCGCCCCTCAAATGGCGTCGTAGCTGCATTCGCTGCAACGGCGTGTACAGTGGCGTGCTCGGCCGGTCCCCGAGAAAGCTGTCCGTAGTAGAACCCCGGTCTCGGTCGGCGTAGGATATCGATCTTCTCAGCGAGCGCGAGGATCTCGTTGAATTTCGAGAGCCCGCATAGCATGATTTCGTGCGAGATGTCCGGCTTCAGCCCTCCAACGTAATGGTCCACCCGCTCTGCTTCGTGCATGTAGCCGACTTGCTCGCATAATGCGAGAAAACCGCTCGTGTAGTCTTGGACCGACCCGAGTTGTCGCCAAGTACGCAGTCTCTGACGCGTTGAAATAGAAGCCGCAATTGGCTCGAAGTGCACCCGAAGCCCTGCGCACCACGCATCCCACGTGCTGTACTGGGCGGTTTCGCAGAAAGAACTCTAGGTGACGACTGGGCCCGAGGGCCCTCCCTCTTGCGACGGCGGCTCGTAGGCGCATGGCGACGTCACAATGACTCGCCACCAGTCCATGGCGGGGCCCCTCAGCAGCGAAACTGCGTTGCGAATCTTCGCTGCGCCCGACTCGACGTAATTCGCGTCGAAGAAAACGTTCATCGTGAAAACCCACGATTGAACTGTCGGACCTCCACGTTGGCTAGGATCGAAGCAGGGCGGGCGCTGCGGCTTGAGTGGAATCGGTGCCATGATGTCGTTGTTGCCACTCGTTGCGGCGAACTCCACGGACCGGCGGACTTTGCAAGGCCCTTGTGTGCCTGTTGCGGCCCTGTTCCTCTCCATGCCAGGCATTGAGTGAGCGGCGCCATCAGTGGCCGCGGCTGAGCGTTGTCCCACGCTGTCGTTCTGTGTCGATGTGCCTGATGAGATGACGATCGGCTCCTCTTGTCAGAATCCCAACCACTTATACCATTGGGATAAAAGGGCTTGTTAAGTGCGCCCATAACCCCCCAGGACAACGAGCCTGTAACCCTTCCCTAGGATCAATCGGGGATCACCAGTGGACCTCTGACACCCCCCCGCACTGGGATGCCGAAGTGCACACACTGGGATTCGAACCCGAGACCTTCGCTTTCATACCATGTCAGAATCTCAACCACTAGACCATTGGAATAAAGAGGCTTGTTAAGTAGCGGGTCAGTGCGCCCATAACCCCCTATGACAACATGCATGTAACCCTTCCCTATGATCAATCGGGGATTACCAGTGGACCTCTGACACCTCCGATTGTGCAGGTGCATTTTCATGTGCATGTGTTGGTGCTGGTGCATTCACCGTCGATTGCTGGCGAGCGGAGTCGCGTTCCGCCGTGAGTGTCGCAATTTCGAGCGCCGAATCTTCGAGTTGGCGCACGAGACTGTCGAGCTGCTCCTACGTCAATGTCGCGAGATTAATTTCGGCCATGGCGGGGGTGTCGGGCAAGCTCAGCGAGAGCCTCTATAGTGGCCGTGTGTGCTTATGAGAGAGCACTTCGAGCGGCGGTGCTTGTTCGCTGAGAGACGTCTACCCCCCCCCAAAATTGAGATAGTTGGGAAGCAAAGGTGTGGGTGCAATCCGAGAGGAGATTGTAGGCTTTGAATACCAAGTGTTACGAGTGCAATTGAGCGAGTGAGAATTGCACTGTCGAAGTAAAACAATACAATGAGCGATGGCATGCCCGAATAATATATAGCGAACTAGAGTGGTAACGGTAACGCGAGGAATTGGGGTGCGCTACGGGCCTAGCGCTGAGGTTGGGATGTGTCGAGGCGGAGGTCCGGAGCGTGGGTTACCAACCGAACCGTGAGGTTGGGTCGCATCGTGAACAGTGGCGGGAGTCGTAGTCGAGGCGAGTATCGCGAGCGGGTAACGTTTCACAGTTTGGGTGCCGATGGCGGGAATGGTCTTGTACGTGGTAAGCAGGGGCGCGAAGTAAGGAAAATGAATTTTCCTTACAGGTTGCTTGGAATCCACGAATGTTGATGCTCTGGTTGTGCTGTGCCTTTTCTGTGGTACGATTTGCAACTCTGGCTTCGGTACGATCTGATATCATGGTTGCTTGCATGTGTGTTTGTATAAGTACGCTTTAATGAATGTTTATGCGAATGCCCACTTTCTGTTACGAAATGAGGAATTTGTTGATAAAAAGTACTGGTTGTCGCACGAGGTGGGCGTTTCATTCCATGCGATGTGGTAGTAACTTGCCGTCGCACGAAAAAATTGCCTGACTCCGTACCAAATATCACGATTGAGGACGAGAATACCCGCCCAGTTGGACGATCAGTTCCCCTTTGCCAGGGGTTTCGAGCGTTTCCTACATAGTTTTGCGCCGCGTGTGATTTTCAGCAGGACTATAAGCAAGAACATATGCACCAGGATATCAGACGTGCGACACAGCCCGACGCAGTCACCAAGAACTGGTTCGGGACCAGCTTGGCTTGGTCCCGAACCTCATGCGCAGCTAAGGTACCGGGGCTAACCACCATACTTCCCCCGCCAGGAGTCATAGCCCCGGGGGTCACAAACCCGGTTCGGGAACTCACTTGAGACAGCATGGGGGAGCCTAGTAACGGAGAGCCTACTAACGGGGAGCCTACTAGCGGGGATCCCATGCGTGGGCTGGCATAGGGGCTAGCATAGGGGCTGGCGTGGGGACTGGTAGAAGGTAGGACGATTTTGGGCTTGTGTGGGCTTTGGATTGGAATTGCTTTTGACTTTCCTACAGGGTTATCCCCAACCTCTGTTCTCCCTCCCCCCCCTGAGGTATACACCTCTCTTTCTTCCTTCTCCGATCCCCCTCCTGTTCCGCCTCCCCCTACCCCTCCCCCTCCTCCGCCTCCGCCTCCGCCCCCTCCAGCTATCCCTCCCCCGACTCCTCTAGTCACTCCCCCGGGCCCTCCCCCCATCCGCATTCCCCCAGCGCGGGAAGGGGCAGCATAGGGGCTCCCCCCGCCTGGAGGGCTTCCGCTCATGCCCCCTCCTGGGGACCCCCCTCCTTGAGAACCCCCTCCTTGAGAACCCCTTCCTGGAATATTAGAGCCACGAGTTTGCGGACTGGAGCCGCTTGCAGGGGAATTAAAGCCACTCATATGGGGATTAAAGCCCGCCTCTGGATTGAACCAGGCTTCACAGCTAGCGAACCTCCTGTGGCCCATCTTCTTGACAGGCATTCCCCCTGCCGCGCCCCCCCCTGCGCCACTTGCCCCTCCCCCTCCCCCTGCCCCTGCCCCACCTCCCCCGACTCCGCTTGCCCCTCCCCCAGGTGCGCCCGCCAGCCACCCGGGGCTTGGGCGCACAGAGTGCCCTCCTGAAGGCGCAGCTCCCCCTCCCCCCATTCCCCCCGCATACCCCCCTGCGCCTGCTGCGGAGCCCTTCTGCGCGCCTTGGGACGAGATTTGTCCCCCTTGCCTGCTGCGCAAGGGGCTCCCATAGGCGGACACCCCCCTCCCCCCTGCTCCCCCTGCTGTCCCCCCTGCTGCTCCGCCTGCTGCGCCTGCGCCGCCCAAATAAGGCAGCACAGGGCTCTTAGGGGGGGTCTTGACAGAGCGCCTGAGGTCTAAGGGGCCGCCGTCATAAGAGCGCGAATTCCGCCTGACAGTGGGTATTCCCAGGGGTGGGAGCGGCTGCTGCGATGCCTGCGCCGCTCGCTGCTGCTGCTGCTGCTGCTGCTGCTGCTGGTCGTGGCGAGGAGGGGAGTGCTGCTGAGTTCCTTGCTGCAGCTGTTGCTGCTGCTGCTGCGACTGCTGCTGCTGCTGCTGCTGCGACTGCTGCTGCTGCTGCTGCTGCGACTGCTGCTGCTGCTGCTGCTGCCGCTCCTTACCACTGCTGGCTCGGGCCTGTCGCCTATCCCAAATGGCCGCTCCCTCTACCACTCCCCCGCCGAATTCCCCACTTGCTCCCCCTCCCGCTCTCCCTCCGGCTCCCCCTCCGCTGCTGCGCACGCGCCTCCCCCGCACATCTTCCGCCTCCCCATCGTACTCATCCTCAGCAGGGCTTCTTACGCCACCCCGCGCCCTCTCCCCGTAACTCCCGCCCCTTCTCTCCCCCCCGTTCCCCCCGCTCCCCCCGCTATTCCCCATGGCGGAAACCATTCCCACGCCGCTCCGCGCCCCTACTGCTCTGCCCGTTCCGCTTGCGTCCCCCCCACCCGCGCCCACAATCGCCCCTTCGCGCCGGCCTCTCTCCTCGGGGCTGGCGTTCCGTGGTGCGCTGCCCGGCCTTCCTGACGGACCGTCAGAATAATTGCTGACGGCTGACGGTCGCTGCTGGGGGCTGGCTTGCCGGCGATTCTCTCCTGCTATCCCCCCTCCTCCCACAACCCCCCCAGCCCCCCCGCTTTGACTTCGCCTATGCCCGTGCTTAACCGCGCCGAAGATTCCAGGCCCCTCCCCCTCACGTCTCGTCCTGTTCCCCTCCAGAATCGCGTGTTTGGGAACTGAACTCCAACCTGCCGGACCGTCAGTCTGCTCACTGCTAGCCGTCGCTGGCCGGTTGCTTCGACCGGTCAGTCCAGCTCCCGCAGCGAGCTGCCATTCTTGCGGTTTACTACGCGGGGGATGCGCTTGCGGGGGCTGCTTGCCTCTCGAGCCGCTGGCTTTAATCGCCTCTGTCGCGCCGCGATACGCGGCGGCGTTCGTTCCAGGGGGGCCTTGGAACTCGTCGGTCGCGTCGGCAGCGGAAAACGCGGCGATGACAAACTCCTCGGAGCGGATTCGGCGGTGACGAGAGGCCATGGGCTTAGGAGGCTTACTACCCTCGACCTGGTTCTTTGATTGTGAATAAGCATACCCGCCAGCAGCGCTACTAATACCGCCGAAGCTGCTACTACCGTGTACGCCGTAGACCGGCGTGTTGTTGCTGATGCTGTTACCCGTACTGCTACCCGTAACATTGCCGTAACCACTGCTGTAACCAGCCGAGGTGCTGTCGCTGTTACCACTACTGTAACCGGGGTTACTGTTTCCACCTCCACCGGCGCGACTGACGCCGCTGTTTACGCTCCTGCTTGGACTGCCGCTGTTGCTGCTGTGGTTGTTGTAGCCGTCGATGCTGCTGCTGCGATTGTTGTAACCGTCGATGCTGCTGCTATTACTGGTAGAGATTTCGCCGCTCAAATTAGGGGATCCAGGATAAGGCGTTTTTAGCGGCCGTTGCTGATTGGTTGACTGAGAACGTCTCACCTCCTTTCCAGCACCTGGCTTAAGCTCCGCATATGGCGGCGACTTCTGCGGCGAATATTGTCGTCTCGAACGAGGCTGCGTACTGTACGCGTTATGGCTGTATGCGTCAGGGGATTGCTGTCGAACGTGTTTCATTTCGTCTGGAGAATGCTGCGGATCTTGCAAATAATCAGGAGATGGAATGACTTCTGAATGCCGTCGGCGGTGACTCGTAGGAGCCTCCGCGACTTCATTTTCTAGAATAATATCTTCATTTCTACCTCCAACACGAGAACTCGCACCGGACTGATGGCTATGAGTAACGGCCTGAAGCTGAGTCCCAGATGCTGGAGTCAGATTCGTCGGGTCGAATTGGAAACTGTCGGACTGGCTTCGTCGATGACGTGGCTTGACAGACCGAGGAGGAACAGGCGACACCGCACGATTTACGCGCTCCTGTTGTTCGGAGACATCGGGACTGTTCATTTGCGCGACGCGATGTCCCGGTTCTCGGGAATGATGCGAGCGGGGTCGAGAATCAACAAGGGTTACGTCCATAGTGGTTTCAATGTGTGGAAAAATACGTGAAACGCCGGACTAGTAAACAGGTATGTTTACATGCTGCTAAAAAACTATTCGTAAGAAAAGTCGAGTAGATGGTAGTTTCCAAGACTTATCTACCTGCTGGGTATGCCAAGATAAGCTTTCGAGTCGAAAAGTTCAGAAGGAGTGGGTGGAATGGTGGGAGAAAATCGAGGTGGTGGAAGGGAGAGAGCAGGCTGTCGCATAGATGCAGCAGAAATTGAGGTTTCGTCCTGACGGGACGTTTTCCAGGCTGTACTGGTTCAGCACAAAATCGAGGTCGTACTGACCGTGCAGATTAAGACTATGGACGGCGAGGATTAAAAGATGGATATAACAGTTGCACGAATTGCGGGCTTGACAAAACTTGAGGGTAACCACAGTCGTCCAAACCCAATCCTTTTTTGCGACTTTCGCCGATGCACCAACCTAGGTTGCAAAAGTTGCGCTTTTGGCAAATGTTCCATGACAAGCTGAGCTGACCAGGATATTAGGTCACTGCACCGTACACGACCTTTACTACCTCACTGAATAAAATTATTTGTTCAATCGAATAAGCCAATCGAGGGCATACAGCAACACGGCACGTGGCCAATTAATTCGAAGTAGGGCCGCCACTTGCTCGCGGTGGTGTTTGGCCAACCCAATTTACGCCTCGAAGCGCCTGCCCCTCAACAGTCTGCCACAACTTGAAGTGAGGTTGGAAGGGCGTGTACCATGCAGAATAAAATGTTGCACCGGAAAGGTCAGAAACGTGTTGGCAACCAGCCTAGTGCTGCACCGTAGCCAGGCTGCACAGAACAGGGTCTCATCAGCACTGTCTTGTGGAGCAGTTATGATTCGATAGGAACATGGAACACACTGCAGTACAAGGAACAAGGAGGGGGACGAGGAGGGGGGAGTTTGAGGTCAAAGAGAAGTCTTTTCATGGTGCTAGATCTGTATAGCCAGTAAATCTGCAAATGATTAATTATTACATGATCAATATATTATAATAGAATACATGAGAAATGGCAATAAAATAATTGTTTTTAATTGATCCCATAAATCAAATTCAAACGCCCCTGTTCTCACACATTAAACAAAATCCAGGTTAAGAGCGGGTTTGTAGGTTTGGCATGTTGTCTCTATGAGCAAATATACTCCCTGGTTTGTGGCCACTAAAGCGTACAGTTTCAGGAAGCGAGCTTGTTGTCAAATCTCTACCAGGGAATCCTTCCCAGTGAACCGGTTTTACCAGCAGCTACTTATCCGATCGGAGATCCTGACAGGCCTGCTTTTTCTAAACGCTTCGCGTCTTCTGGCGACGGCAGTGTCAGATACTCCGGGACTCGCGCCGTCTCTAACGCTGGGGCCAAGGCTAGAGCGCAGCAACGTGCGCGATATCCAGCTCGAGGATCAAATTCAACGAACAACACGCGATGCGTCCCGCGTCGCGCGATGCAGTTTCGGAACGGATCTGGCCGGCGTGGATCCGCTTTGCCGTCGTCAGCATCGTGATGACGTGGCATTTGGGAGAGAGTGGCGTGGCAGCGGACGTGATTGGATGCGGGGGCTTCGTCCAGGTAGGCTCATGATTCGCTCGTCAGTGACGTGTCGTTTCGTAAGTCGTTTTCAAGAAACATTTAGGCTGATAATGTGAGTAATATGCGCCACGATTTGTAATGCGCGTAGTAAGTGGATTGTCATTTCTCACTCGGTGACGAAGTGGATCAGGATCCGATGCGATAGATCACGCACTCTGCAGATCCGATCTGATCTTATGCTGCGTTGCATGTTTAGCTTCGGCTCGGGAAGGTTAGTACCGCATGATATGAATGCGAGGATCCCGCGCCGCGTCTCCGCGCTTCGCGCACATCGCTGTGACGCTTGAGTCGACTGAATGTCGCTCGCATTCTTCCCCATTTCCCGCGCCTCCCAAAGTCACATTCCTCCTTCTTCCCTCATCCCTCCCCGCCCCCTCTCTGACCGTCGCCAGGCCAGCAGGCAGCTCGCCTCCATGCGTCCAGACTCTGAGTCCACCCAACGTCACATGCTTTCTTCTCCCCTCGCCCCTCCCCCATGTCCCCTCTCCCCTCGCCCCTCCCCGCCCCCCCTCCGACCGTCGCCAGGCCAGCAGGCAGCTCACCTCCATGCGTGCAGACTCTGATGCCTCCCAACGTCACACTCTTCCTCCTTCCCTCCTTTTCCCCTCCTCGTCCCTCCTCTGCAAATCGCCAGGCTAGTAGGCAGCTCGCCTCCATGCGTGCAGACTCTGATGGCTCCCTCGACTACTCACGCCTTGTGGTACGGTGCTGTGCAGTGCGGTGCAGTGTGGTCCTGTGTGGTGTGGTGGGGTATGGTGTGGTGTGGTGTGGTATGGTGTGGTGTGGTGTGGTTTGAGAAGGTGTGACTAGTGATGCGGTGCGGTGCGGTGCGGTGGAGCACCTATGCATGACGGCTTGCTCCAGGCCCCGTAAGGATATTACAGGTTTTGTTATTTGCAGCTCAGCTTTTGCTTCGAAAATTGAAAGCCCGTTTTGACCCCATGGTTGTTAGCCGCGTATTTCGGCTCCATTCTCAGGGTATGGAACGCATGAGTAGGGAACACCATGGTAGGGAACACCATGGTAGGGAACACCATGGTAGGGAACATCATGGTAGGGAACACTGCGTCCGTGTTCCCTACCCCATCCCCCCTTTCTCCCATGCTGGCAGATGGAGCTGCGCACACAGGAGGGCATGGTGAAGGAGCAAGCGCTCTGTTGCCCTGCCTCCAGTCTCTCCTTCCCACCTCCACCACTCTTTCCCTGGTGCCATCTGCTCCTCTCCTCCCTCCCCATGCTAACAGGTGGAGCTGCGCACGCAGGAGGGCATGGTGAAGGAGCAAGCGGACTGCTGCCTTGCCTCCGTCCCTCCATCCCTCACTTACTGTTCCGCCGCTGCCCCCTCCCCTTGAACCCCACCACCCGCGCAGGTGGAGCTGCGCACGCAGGAGGGAATGGTGAAGGAGCAAGCGCACTGTGCGCCCAACGGCTACTACTTCCTTCCGGTGTACACCCAGGTGGGTCACGCACACGCCCAAGGGTGATGTGCAATTCGCGAGGTGATGTTCCCAAGGTTGCCATGGGGCAAGGCAGCAAGCGCACTGCGCGCCCAACGGCTACTACTTCCTTCCTGTCTACACCCAGGTGGGTTACGCTCACTCCCAAGGGTGATGTGCCCATGAGGGTGAGGATGGGGCAAGGCAGCAAGCGCCCTGCGCGCCCAATGGCTACTAATTCGCGCCCTGCGCGCCCAATGGCTACTACTTCGCGCCCTGCGCGCCCAATGGCTACTACTTCCTGCCCGTGCACACCCAGGTGGGTGGGTCCTTCCCTCCTCTCCTAGTCCAACACCCGTGCGTCACAGCACAGGAGGGCATGGTGAAAGAGCAAGCGCACTGCGCACCCAATGGCTACTACTTCCTGCCGGTCTACACCCAGGTGGGTGGGCGCGTAGGGTGACGTGTCCAGGGTGACGTGTCCAGGGTGACATGCTCCTCGTGCTTCCTTTCTTCCGAGCCCACTGCCCCCCCGCGACTCACCTTTGAGCCGACAGTGAATTGCCGACTGGATGGTCGTTTGAGCCGCAGATTGAGTGTGCCCAACACCCCATGCCGTGTGCGCGCCCTGTGCCATGTGCTCCGTCTGTGCTCCCCCCTTCCAGTCACATGGATCGTTTGAGCCGACAGTGAATTGCCCGACTGGATGGTCGTTTGAGCTGGACCGCGTGTCAGGGACAGTCGATTCCATGCATCTTCTATTGCAACATGCCCCTCAACTTCCCCCTTACAATCACACACTGTGCTGTGCCCTGTTTCACCCAACCACAGGGAAACGTTTGAGCTGGCCGTGCGGGGCCCCCCGGGATGGTCGTGTGAGGTGGAGAGTGTATACGTGCCAGTTGACTGCATTCATCTTCTATTGCAACATGCCCCGTGCTCCCCCCTGATAGTCACACATTGTGTCCTCTTCTCACTCGTTACAACCACAGGGAACGTTCGAGCTGGCAGTGAGGGGCCCGCCTGGGTGGTCGTTTGAACCGGAAAGCGTGCCAGTGACGGTTGATGGGGAGGCGTGCAATGGCAACAAGGACGTCAACTTCCACCACAAGGGGTGAGAGGGCGTGGAGGGAGAGGGGGGGGGGGCTGGCTTTGGTTGTCTATGGTGCCTCAGCAATCCCCCCTGGATGGTCATTTGAGCCGGAGAGCGTGTCAGTGACAGTTGATGGGGAGGCGTGCAATGGCAACAAGGACGTCAACTTCCACCACAAGGGGTGAGGGGGGGAAAGGGGGGTAAGGAGGGGATAGGGGGGCTGCAACCCTCGGTGTTCGAGGCGCCTAAAACACCTCCCTCTGGGTGGTGATTTGGGCTGGAGAGCATATCAGTGACAGTTGATGCAGAGGTGTGCAATGGCAACAAGGACGTCAACTTCCACCACAAGGGGTGAGCAATTGGGGGGGAAGGGGGGGCCTGGCTTTGGTTGTCTATGGTGCTGCAGCTGTCCCCCTGGCTTGAGCCGGAAATCGTGTCGGTGGCACCTGATTAGCGGCTGTGCTTGTGTTGCGGCGATTGATCGAGTGCTGCCCTTGTGATGTGATTTTACCACCGTTCTGCTGCAATCCCAGCCATTCATTCCCGGTCCACTGCATCCCTCTCCCGTCCTACGTGGCAGCTTCGGATTGGCTGGAAAGGTGCTCGGTCCCGACAGCCCCTCCTGTGCCGCCCAGGCCAAGGGACCTGCGGGTGTGACTGTGACTGTAACGAGGGCTGGCAGTGAGGGGGGAGAGGGCAAGGGGGTGGCAGAGGTGGTGGCGACAGCAGTGACAGATGGGAGTGGTGCCTTCCGCTTCTCCGACCTGCTTGTTGGTACGACCCTTCTCAAGTCCATCCCCTCTCGTGAGTCGACTCAAAGATCACGTCAGTGGTGGCGACAGCAGTGACGGATGGGAGTGGTGCCTTCCGCTTCTCCGACCTGCTTGTTGGTACGACCCTTCTCGAGTCCATCCCCTCTCGTGAGTCGACTCAAAGATCACGTCAGTGGTGGCGACTGCAGTGACGGATGGGAGTGGTGCCTTCCGCTTCTCCGACCTGCTTGTTGGTACGACCCTTCTCGAGTCCATCCCCTCTCGTGAGTCGACTCAAAGATCACGTCAGTGGTGGCGACTGCAGTGACGGATGGGAGTGGTGCCTTCCGCTTCTCCGACCTGCTTGTTGGTACGACCCTTCTCGAGTCCATCCCCTCTCGTGAGTCGACTCAAAGATCACGTCAGTGGTGGCGACTGCAGTGACGGATGGGAGTGGTGCCTTCCGCTTCTCCGACCTGCTTGTTGGTACGACCCTTCTCGAGTCCATCCCCTCTCGTGAGTCGACTCAAAGATCACGTCAGTGGTGGCGACTGCAGTGACGGATGGGAGTGGTGCCTTCCGCTTCTCCGACCTGCTTGTTGGTACGACCCTTCTCGAGTCCATCCCCTCTCGTGAGTCGACTCAAAGATCACGTCAGTGGTGGCGACTGCAGTGACGGATGGGAGTGGTGCCTTCCGCTTCTCCGACCTGCTTGTTGGTACGACCCTTCTCGAGTCCATCCCCTCTCGTGAGTCGACTCAAAGATCACGTCAGTGGTGGCGACTGCAGTGACGGATGGGAGTGGTGCCTTCCGCTTCTCCGACCTGCTTGTTGGTACGACCCTTCTCGAGTCCATCCCCTCTCGTGAGTCGACTCAAAGATCACGTCAGTGGTGGCGACTGCAGTGACGGATGGGAGTGGTGCCTTCCGCTTCTCCGACCTGCTTGTTGGTACGACCCTTCTCGAGTCCATCCCCTCTCGTGAGTCGACTCAAAGATCACGTCAGTGGTGGCGACTGCAGTGACGGATGGGAGTGGTGCCTTCCGCTTCTCCGACCTGCTTGTTGGTACGACCCTTCTCGAGTCCATCCCCTCTCGTGAGTCGACTCAAAGATCAGTGGTGGCGACTGCAGTGACGGATGGGAGTGGTGCCTTCCGCTTCTCCGACCTGCTTGTTGGTACGACCCTTCTCGAGTCCATCCCCTCTCGTGAGTCGACTCAAAGATCACGTCAGTGGTGGCGACTGCAGTGACGGATGGGAGTGGTGCCTTCCGCTTCTCCGACCTGCTTGTTGGTACGACCCTTCTCGAGTCCATCCCCTCTCGTGAGTCGACTCAAAGATCACGTCAGTGGTGGCGACTGCAGTGACGGATGGGAGTGGTGCCTTCCGCTTCTCCGACCTGCTTGTTGGTACGACCCTTCTCGAGTCCATCCCCTCTCGTGAGTCGACTCAAAGATCACGTCAGTGGTGGCGACTGCAGTGACGGATGGGAGTGGTGCCTTCCGCTTCTCCGACCTGCTTGTTGGTACGACCCTTCTCGAGTCCATCCCCTCTCGTGAGTCGACTCAAAGATCACGTCAGTGGTGGCGACTGCAGTGACGGATGGGAGTGGTGCCTTCCGCTTCTCCGACCTGCTTGTTGGTACGACCCTTCTCGAGTCCATCCCCTCTCGTGAGTCGACTCAAAGATCACGTCAGTGGTGGCGACTGCAGTGACGGATGGGAGTGGTGCCTTCCGCTTCTCCGACCTGCTTGTTGGTACGACCCTTCTCGAGTCCATCCCCTCTCGTGAGTCGACTCAAAGATCACGTCAGTGGTGGCGACTGCAGTGACGGATGGGAGTGGTGCCTTCCGCTTCTCCGACCTGCTTGTTGGTACGACCCTTCTCGAGTCCATCCCCTCTCGTGAGTCGACTCAAAGATCACGTCAGTGGTGGCGACTGCAGTGACGGATGGGAGTGGTGCCTTCCGCTTCTCCGACCTGCTTGTTGGTACGACCCTTCTCGAGTCCATCCCCTCTCGTGAGTCGACTCAAAGATCACGTCAGTGGTGGCGACTGCAGTGACGGATGGGAGTGGTGCCTTCCGCTTCTCCGACCTGCTTGTTGGTACGACCCTTCTCGAGTCCATCCCCTCTCGTGAGTCGACTCAAAGATCACGTCAGTGGTGGCGACTGCAGTGACGGATGGGAGTGGTGCCTTCCGCTTCTCCGACCTGCTTGTTGGTACGACCCTTCTCGAGTCCATCCCCTCTCGTGAGTCGACTCAAAGATCACGTCAGTGGTGGCGACTGCAGTGACGGATGGGAGTGGTGCCTTCCGCTTCTCCGACCTGCTTGTTGGTACCTCCTCCTCTCCTCCCCTCCCCTCCCCTCCCCTCCTAAGTTGGTCATTTACGCCATTTCAGCCCACGTACACGTAACGTACGCGTACATGTACGTTTACGTGTACGTACGCCGGGCAGGTGAAAAAAAAATGCTCCCCTAGAAAATTCTTTGAAAACGGTTTCCGAAAACCTAAAAAATAAAAAAGCTTTCGACGACCTGTGCTCTGTTAGCGTGTTAGTACGGCGCGACGTTTTTCAAAGTAGTAATGTAAGAAACAGGAAGGTTGCTAGCTAGGGTTGCTATGGTGTGGCGTCTACCCTACGTACTATGTCGACTAAGGCGGTAGAACTACGATAGCTAAGTCTGTCGAGAGAGGGAGGGAGGAAATTGTGGTGGGAATAGATCTGAATGTGTACAAACTGTTCGCAAACATTGCGAACAGTTTGACTCAGATCGCGATTGCTTCGCGCAGCTTCGTCACCGCCGACCTTCACTGGTTTCGGCGAATCCCAACTTCGAGTCAAACCAATTCGCATGATGGTATTTTTGTTATTTGGGAAATTACGAGGTTGTAATGGAATGTTTACACTATATGATAGAAATCATGATTACGAGGGAGTACTAAAGAAAAAAATATACATATTCGGGCAGCCCATAATTTTTTTCACTTGCCCGTACATTAGGCCTCCAACCCAACAGCCGCGTAAACGTACGTACCCATACATGTACGTACGTAAACGTAAACGTAAATGACCAACTAAGCTCCCCTCCTCTCCCCTCCCCTCCCCTCCCCTAAAGAGCATTATTGCGGCGTCTCAAGAATGGACCTCTTCCTCCTTGTTCGTACGACCCTCCTCCTGCTCTTTCTCCTTCCTCTTCTCCCACTTCTCCCCTCCCTCCCACCAGGCACCTACACTCTCTCCGCCTCCCACCCCGCGTGGCCCATCAAGCTGCTCGGCAATCCCAAGGTGGACCTGGGCTGGGGCAGCATGGAGCTCCCGGACCTCTTCCAAGTGGCGGGCTACAGCCTCTCAGGCTCTGTGGAAGCACAGGTGAGCGGTTGTGTGCAGTTGTATGCGGTTGTGTGCGCTTGTGGGCGGTTGTGTGGGGTAGTTCACTCTTGACTGCTTGTGTGCCTCTGAGGCAGTATGGAACTCCCAGACCTCTTCCAAGTGGCGGGCTACAGCCTGACTGGATCGGTCGAGGCTCAGGTGAGGTTGTGTGCGGTTGTGTGGGGTACTTCACTCTCGACTGCGTTTGTGCCTCTGGGGCAGCATGCAGCTCCCAGACCTCTTCCAAGTAACGGGCTACAGCCTGTCAGGCTTCGTGGAAGCTCAGGTGAGGGGACGGGTTGTGTGCGGTTCTATGCGGTTCTGTGGGTAGTTCAATGTCTCAGTTGCATGGGTGCCCTGGGGCAGCATGGAGCTCCCAATCCTCTTCCAGGTGGCGGGATACAGCCTCTCAGGCTCTGTGGAGGCTCAGGTAAGCGGTTGTGGGCGGTGGTGTGCGGTATTGTGTGGTTGTGTAGGGTAGCTCACTCTTGACTGCATGGGTGCCCTGGGGCAGCATGGAGCTCCAGGACCTCTTCCAAGTGGCGGGCTATAGCCTCTCCGGCTCCATGGAAGCTCAGGTGAGGCGCGCGCGTGGACCAAGGCGCGCGCGAGGACCAAGGGGCGCACGTGGACCAAGGCGCGCGCGTAAAAAGAGGCGCGCGCGTAGAAAGAGGCGCGCGCGTCGAAAGAGGCGCGCGCGTGGACCGAGGCGCGCGCGTCGAAAGAGGCGCGCGCGTGGACCGAGGCGCGCGCGTGGACCGAGGCGCGCGCGTCGAAAGAGGCGCGCGCGTGGACCGAGGCGCGCGCGTCGAAAGAGGCGCGCGCGTGGACCGAGGCGCGCGCGTCGAAAGAGGCGCGCGCGTCGAAAGAGGCGCGCGCGTTGAAAGAGGCGCGCGCGTGGACCGAGGCGCGCGCGCGGACCAAGTACCAAGTCGCGTCGGATCTCTTCCAAGTGGCGGGCTACAGCCTCTCAGGCTCCGTGGAAGCTCAGATGAGCGGGTGTGTGTGGTTGTGTGGGTGGGTGGTAGGGCTTCCCTGCATGTGTCCGTTTGTGCTCTGTGGGCTTCCTCTCTGCGTGCTTCCTCTCTGTGTGCTTCCCTCCCCCCTCACCCAGCTCACGCCCTCCCCCTCCACCCTCTCCCCCTGTTCCTCTCCCTTCTTCCTGTGCAACAGAAAAACCCAGTTCCAGGAGTGCAGATATTCCCTTTCTCCAACCCCACCCTAACCCACCCCAACCCACTCCACTCCACTCCACACCACTGCACCGCACCCTTCCCCTTTCCCCATTCCTCCCTCCTCCTCCCAGACAGGAAAACCCAGTCCCAGGAGTGCAGATATTCCTTTTCTCCGACTCCACCCCACCTCACCCCACCCCACCCCACCCCACTGCACCCTTCCCCTTTCCCCATTCCCCCCGCTCCCCCCCGTTTTCCCACACAGAAAAACCCAGTCCCAGGGGTGCAGATATTTCTTTTCTCCGACTCCGTCCAGAAGATTCCCACCTGCCCGGCCGGCCCGGGCACCTCCCCCCTGCCCGGGAAAACTCCGCTCTGCCACACCACCACGGGGGCGGACGGGCGGTTCTCCTTCCGCGAGCTGCCATGTGGCGCGTTCTCATTGGTCCCGCAATACAAGGGCGAGGCGACGGTGTTTGAGATGGCGCCTAAGGAAATGGCAGTGGTGGTGGGTCATGCTGATGCCGCTACAGCAGAACCCTTTCAGGTAAGCGCCTTTTGGGTAAAGGCTGCCGCATTGGTCCCACCCACTGCCCTCAGTACAATGGGCGAGGCGACGGTGTTTGAGATGGCGCCCAAGGAGATGGCAGTGGTTGTTGGGCATGCTGATGCCGCTACAGCAGAGCTGTTCCAGGTAACACCTCCCCAGGCTCAGGTAAAACCCTTTCAGGTGAGACCCTCTCAACTAGCACCTCTCAAGGCGACGGTGTTTGACTCGGCGCCCAAGGAGATGGCAGTGGTGGTGGGACATGCTGATGCTGTCACAGCAGAGCTGTTCCAGGTAAGAAGCTATATTGGGAACATCAGAACACCTGCTCGGGCCTCTCAAGGCGACGGTGTTTGAGATGGCGCCCAAGGAGATGGGGGTGGCGGTGGGGCATGCTGACGCTGCTACAGCAGAGCCGTTCCAGGTGAGATCCTTTCAGGTGACACTCATTCAGGTAACACCCTTTCAGTTAACACCTCACCAGGCGACGGTGGTTGAGATGGCACTCAGGGGGATGGCAGTGGTGGTGGGGCATGCTGATGCTGCTGTTGCAGAGCCGTTTCAGGCAACACCTCCCCCATCCCAGATAGCACCCATTCAGGTAACACCTGCCTGGGCCACTTGACACCACGGTGTTTGAGATGGCACCCAAGGAGATGGCGGTGGCGGTGGGACATGCTGATGCTGCTACAGCAGAGCCGTTTCATGGTAACAAGGTATTTCCATATCAGCAAAGAGGAACTAAAACTTTCTAGTAACCCTCCTCCTCTCTTCCTTCTCCTTCCCTCCTCTCCCACTCACAGGTCCGTGGGTTCTCCGTATCTGGACGCGTGGAGAACAGCGCAGGGGAGGGCATGGAGGGAGCAACGGTGCTTCTCAATGGCCAGCCGCGCGCTGTCACAGACGCCCAGGTGCAGAGCGGTGGCAAAGTTATGTGGGTCGGTATGGTTGGTAATCTTGTGGGTGTACAAGGAAGGTGCTTCTTCTCAATGGCCAGCCACACGCCGTCACAGACGCCCAGGTGCAGAGCGGTGGCAAACAATTGTGGGTCGGTGCAGTTTGTAATGGTGTGGGTGTACAAGGAAGGTGCTTCTTCTCAATGGCCAGCCACACGCCGTCACAGACGCCCAGGTGCAGAGCGGTGGCAAACAATTGTGGGTCGGTGCAGTTTGTAATGGTGTGGGTGTACAAGGAAGGTGCTTCTTCTCAATGGCCAGCCACACGCCGTCACAGACGCCCAAGTGTAGAGCGGTGGCAAACAATTGTGGGTCGATGCAGTTTGTAATGGTGTGGGTGTACAAGGAAGGTGCTTCTTCTCAATGGCCAGCCACACGCCGTCACAGACGCCCAGGTGCAGAGCGGTGGCAAACAATTGTGGGTCGATGCAGTTTGTAATGGTGTGGGTGTACAAGGAAGGTGCTTCTTCTCAATATCCATCCATGTGTGGTGACAGATGCCCAGGTGGAATGCGGTGCCAGAGCAACTTGGGACGGTTGGTATAGTTGGTGGTAGTCGCGTGGGTGTACAAGCAGGGGCAGTGCGCTCTGTAGTACTGTACAGCAGGCATATAACCGGGCTACGTTGTATCATGAGACTGGGTCTGCTAGTAACAGGAACTCCGGGTACCTGCTTTTGAGACGTCTCAAAAGCAGGGAACTCCAGGTCCCTGCTTCCACACTCTCTGCTTCCACACTCTCTGCTTCCTCATCCCTTCCTTTCTTCATATTGCCGTTTTGTCTCCCGTTTACTCCTCCTCTCCCCCAACAAGCAGGGTCAGTACAGCCTGCACCAGATAACATCAGCCCAGCACGCCCTGTCCGCCACCAAGCCATGCAGTAGTTACCCTACCCTGCTCCAGTGGTTCATTTGCCTACTGCATCCTGTCTTCTCCCCCCTCCCTTCCTTCTCCCACTCTCCCCCCCCAACAAGCAGGGCCAGTACAGCCTGCACCAGATCACATCGGGCCAGTACGCCCTATCTGCCACCAAGCCGCGCTACGCCTTCACGCCCCTCCCCGCCCTCTCCATCGCCCCCTCCGCCTCCCTCCTGCCCCCTCTCCCCACGAGCAGCTTCCGTTCTCCCTGACACCCACCAATGCTCAGACCCCTTTCCCTGTTTCCTCACTCATCCTTTCCTTGTTTTCCCATTCTATCTACTTTCTCCTTCTTCCCCCCCCCGCCACAACAAGCAGGGTCAGTACAGCCTGCACCAGATAACATCGGGCCAGTACGCCCTATCTGCCACCAAGCCGCGCTACGCCTTCACGCCCCTCCCCACCGTCTCCATCGTCCCCTCCGCCTCCCTCCTGCCCCCTCTCCGCGCCTCGCACTACGAGCTGTGTGTCGCGACGCTATTGGACGAGGGATCGGCGTTCCAAGCGGGCGGCAGGCAGGTGGCGCTGACTGGAGGCGGAGGGGAACAGGATGTGTCACCTCAGGCGAAGAAGACAGATGCTGATGGGAGAGTGTGCTTCATGGTGAGCTGTGCTGCACTTTTGAGACGTCTCAAAAGGCTTCATGGTGAGCTGTGCTGCACTTTTGAGACGTCTCAAAAGGCTTCATGGTGAGCTGTGCTGCACTTTTGAGACGTCTCGAAAGGTTTCATGGTGAGCTGTGCTGCATGGGTGTGATGTGCTTGTTGTGCTGTGAGCTTGTGCTCGCAGGCAGGGGGGATGATGGTAAGCAGGGAGGGAGGGCAGGAGGTGGCGCCTCAGGCCAAGAAGACGGATGCTGATGGGAGAGTTTGCTTTATGGTGAGCTCTGCTATATGGATCAGCTTGTGCTATTGGGGTGAGTGGGAGGGTGAGCGGGAGGGTGAGCGGGAGGGTGAGTGGGAGGGTGTGGTGTTCATTAGGGAGGGTGTGGCGTTCATTAGGGAGGGTGTGGTGTTCATTAGGGAGGGTGTGCTGTGATCTCTGTTTCTCTACTTCCGTGTTGCAATCACATCACTCTCCTTTCTGTTTCGTCCCCACCGCCTCTCTTCCATCCAGGTCCCACCAGGCGCCTATCAGCTCGCCCCACACGTCCTACCAGCAGAGGCAGCAGCAGGGCTGGCGTTTGCGTCTCTCCCCTTGCCTCCCTCCTCTCATGTCCCTTCTATCCTCCTCTCTCCTTCCTGTCCCCTTCCCTCCCTCCAGGTCCCCCCAGGCACCTACCAGCTCGCCCCACACATCCTACCGGCTGAGGCAGCAGCAGGGCTGGCCTTTGCCCCCTCCCTCGCCACCGTTACAGTCACATCCGCGCCTGTCACAGGGGTCTCCTTCAACCAATCACATCTCTCCGTGTCCGGCCATGTGATCTGCATCGACGGCTGCGATCGCTCCGTCCGCGTCTCCCTCGCTCGCATCGGACCGTTGGCCGGTTCAGCTGATTCTGCTAGTGCTGCCGCTTCTGCTGCCTCTGCATCTCGATCGGTTTTCTTGAAGGAAAAGGATGGGTCTTTTGCGTTCGAGAACGTGGTTCCTGGGAAATACAAAATCGAGGTAAGAAATTTGGGTGACCCAGCGTCAAAACTATAGTATTGGAGTGGGTATCTATATGTACATATGTACATTGTTTTTGCCATGTATTTTGGAAAGTGTTTATGCTCTCATAACTAACTGCACTCATTCCCACTCTCCACTTTCCAGGCGTCCAAGCGGGTGGTTCAGGGGAGTGACATGGCGGGCAAAAGGTTGGCTCTTTCCCTGCGACGAATGACATTACATTCTCCTCGTACCCCACCCCACTCCTCCCAACCCCCCTCTCCCACCACTCCCCCCCCCCTCACCAGGGATCAAAGCAGGTGATTCAAGGGAGTGATTTAGCGGGCGACGCATGGCCTTTGTTACCCCACCCCACCCCACCCCACCCACCCCACCCACCCCACCCACCCCACTCCTCCCAAAACTCTCAACCCCTCTCCCCACCTCCCTCCCCTCTCTCCCCCCACCAGGCATCCAAGCAGGTGATTCAGGGGAGTGACATGGCGGGCGACGAGTGGTGCTGGAAGACACAGTCCGCTGATGTGGCGGTCTCCGATTCGTCCGTGGTGGGCGTGGCGCTGGAGCAGAGTGGATGGAGGGTGGAGATCGATGCAGCGATGGAGGATACAGTCAGCATGGCGCACGGGGAGACGGCCCTGCCTGCTGTCAAGCTCAAGGTGTGCAAAGCGGTTGAATGCGGTGGAGGTGGGTGGCGATAGATGCTGCTAGTCCGCTTTGGGGTGGGTGGAGGGTGGAGATCGAGTGATGCAGAGATGGAGGATACAGTCAGCCTGGTGCACCGGGAAACGCCGCTGCCAGCTGTCAGGCTCTCAAGGTAAACTGGTGAATCAAGTGTGCACCCATGTGTTGGTCTCAGGGTGGGCGTTTTTCAAGTTTCAGGCATCCAGTCTCTCTCCCCCCCCACCCCCTGTGGCTGTGCTTTGCAGAAGGGGCTGCAGCACGTGTGTGTGGCAGCCAGTGGCAGCTACAGTCTCCGCTTCCCTTCCCTGACTCGTGCGCCATTGACAATCCTTCCCCCATTCCCCCATCCCACATCCCCCTTCCCCTCCCCCTGTGGTCGTGCAGAAGGGGCTGCAGCACATGTGTGTGGCGGCCAGTGGCAGCTACAGCCTCCGCTTCCCTGATTCGTGCGCCATGTATGGGGAGGGGGAGGGCGTGTACTACCACACGCAGGAGGTGAAGGTGAGCACGCATCCTGTTTCCAAGGCCTTTGCACACAGTAATGCAGGTGAGGTGAGATGAGAACCATGGGTCCTCTTCCCTGACCCGTGTGCCATATACGGGGAGGAGGGAGGGTGTGTACTACCACACGCAGGAGGTGAAGGTGAGAAGGAGCTTCTCCATTCTCTATGGACGTGCCTTTCCCTTGTGCTTATCCATTCTCTATGGACGTGCCTTTCCCTTGTGCTTATCCATTCTCTATGGACGTGCCTTTCCCTTGTGCTTATCCATTCTCTATGGACGTGCCTTTCCCTTGTGCTTATCCATTCTCTATGGACGTGCCTTTCCCTTGTGCTTATCCATTCTCTATGGACGTGCCTTTCCCTTGTGCTTATCCATTCTCTATGGACGTGCCTTTCCCTTGTGCTTATCCATTCTCTATGGACGTGCCTTTCCCTTGTGCTTATCCATTCTCTATGGACGTGCCTTTCCCTTGTGCTTATCCATTCTCTATGGACGTGCCTTTCCCTTGTGGTTGCCTTCGTGACTGTTGAGTCGACATTAAAACCTCATCATGCCCCGCCCGCCCCACTCCCCCATGCAACCCCTCTTCCCCCTCCGTCTCCCCTTTTCACCAAGTGATTCGTCTGCGCCCGTCAGCCTACAGGTACAGGGTATCCGGCCTCGTCCGAGTGAACGCCTCCCTCTTCCCCTCTGCAGCCGCCATCGCCTCCCACGCCTCTGCCCGCCTCTTCAGCCCCACCAACGGCTCTCTGCTCTCCCTCTCTCCTCTTCTCCTCATTCCCCTCTCCCCATGCCCCTCTACCCCACTTTCTCTCACCCCTATCACTCACGCTTTCCTCTTCTTCCTTCTCCCTCACACCCCTCCCGACAGGTGATTCGTCTGCGCCCGTCAGCCTACAAGGTCTCGGGACTAGTCCGGGTGAACGCCTCCCTCTTCCCCTCTGCAGCTGCCATCGCCCCCCACGCCTCTGCCCGCCTCTTCAGCCCCACCAACGGCTCCCTGCTCTCCCTCGCGCCCCTCTCCCTCGTCTCTGCCCCGAACGCCACGCATGGGGTGGCAGTGTATGCGCAAGAGCACTGGGTGGAAGGAGGGGGAGAGCTGCTGCTGGGGTGGTACCATGATGGAGGGGTGGGGGACGAGGGTTCCACCCTGGATGATGTGGCTGATGCCCTCAAAAGGTGGGTTCTGTCTGGTGCTCTCTCTCTCCTTCCTCCCTTCTCCGTCCTTCCGCCCCTCTTCCTCTCTCGCTGCTCTCTGCTCTCCCTCGCGCCCCTCTCCCTCGTCTCTGCCCCTAATGATACCCACCCGGAGGCGGTGTATGCGCAAGAGCACTGGGTGGAAGGAGGGGGAGAGCCGCTGCTGGGGTGGTACCATGATGGAGGGGTGGGAGATGATGGCTCGACCCTGGATGATGTTGCTGATGCCCTCAAAAGGTGGGTTCCCTCTTGGTGCTTCTTCTTCCTTCGGTCTTCCTCCTTTCTTCCCTTTTTCTTCCTTCGGTCTTCCTCCTTTCTTCCCTTTTTCTTCCTTTGCTCTTCCTCCTTTCTTCCCTTTTTCTTCCTTTGCTCTTCCTCCTTTCTTCCCTTTTTCTTCCTTTGCTCTTCCTCTCTCGCTACATGTGTCTGCCCATCTGCCAGAAACTATTTTTGAGGCGCCTCAAAAAGTGGACAATCGTGCCAGAAACTGTGAGGGTTGGCAGGAGCGGGCAAAAGCGGGTCCGCTCCCACGGCCAGTCATACGGCGAAATCATTTTTTTGACCTTAAGACTCAACAATACCCTGTGCCTGCCTGCCACAGTCTGTGCGGGTCAGTAGCAGCAGACACAGACACCCTTCTCTCACACAGAGAAAAAAAACCCTTTAACAAATCTCTGGAGATCCTATAAAGTATTTAAAACTTCGTGTCTGCCTGGCCCGCCTGCCTGCCTGCCGAAACCCGTGCAGGTCACCAGCAACACACACACTGACACCTTTGTTCACACAAAAGCAAAACCCTTTCAGGAAAGAAAATAAAACCATTAGCACAAAAAGACAATATTGACAGAGATAGTTCTTACAAACTTTAAGCCTCAAGATTGTGTTGTGTGATTATCGGATCACTACCTCACGTATTCGCTTCTATAAATGCTGAAACACGGTACTTGAAGAATTTGCTTGATCGGCGCCTTAGAGTTTGTGGTTGTAAAACGGTATGTGATATGAACTGCTAACCTGATATGACCGTTTTGCAACCACAAACTTCAATGCGTCGATCAAATCATTCTTCAAGTGTTGTGTTTCACCAATCATGGAAGCGAAAACGTGAGGTAGTGTTCTGATACTCCCACAACCTTGAGACTTGAAGTTTGTAAGAACTATCGTTGTCAATATGGTCCTTCTGTAACATTGTTTTTGTCTGTCCAGAGTAGCCATTGTGAGAATATTGTTAGATTTGCTAGTGGTTGGGTCAACCAAAGAAAAAAAAACAAAAACAAGCTTCGGTCTCTATCCGTCTGCCCACCTACCTGCCAAAACCTGTGCAGGTCGGCAGCAGCAGATAAAGACACGCTTCGCTCGCATGGCCTGACAGACGAGGAAATCGATTCTTTAGATGAAGAGTATAGCCAACTTTATGTGGCCGGCGAAGTGGATATAGACGTGGATTACGTGACTCACATCCTTCGTCTCGCTGGGAATAGGACAAAAGTGGGAGAGCAGGGGGAAGGGGAAGATGTGGAGGGAGGAAAAAAGTTTGGGGATGGTGGAGGGGAAGAGGGAGAGGGAGAGAAGGTAGTGGGAAGAGGAGGGATGGATTTGACAAGCTTTGGGGAGGAGAAAGGGAAGGGTGTGAACGATGGTGAGGGCGAAGGAGAGGGTGAGGGAGAGGGTGAGGGAGAGGGAGAGGGAGGGGAGGATGACCTTGAGTGGGCGAACAAGATGCTGCAGGATATGTTTGAGTCAGAAGCCCAGGCACTGAAAACGCTGATCGCCAGAGGGTAAGTGTGCTCTGAGTCGCTTAGAAGGCACCAACGGCTCTAGAGGCTAGTCAAAGAACCCTTTTCTTCTCTCCCCTTCCACCCGTTTCCTCCCCTCCTCCCCACTTCAGTGCACACACCTCCACGTTGGAACAAGAGGAGGCACCGTTCGGGGCAGACAGCTCTAGAGGCTAGTCAAAGAACCCTTCTCTCCCCTTCCTTCCTGCTGTTGAGAGTGCTTAGCTTCCCACTCTACCGTTGCTCACCCACGCTCCCGTCCTCCACCCCTTCAGTGCGCGCATCTCTACATTGGCACGAGAGCAGCCGCTGTTTGGGGCGGATGGGACTAGAGGCTAGTGAAAGAACCCTCGTCTCTTCCCCCTTCCAACCTTTCCCCTCCCCTTCCCCAATTCAGTTGGAACGAGAGCCACCGCCAGTGGCAGATGGCTCTAGTGCCCTCATAAAAACCCTTTCTCCCCCGCCCTTTGTTTTGAGACGTCTCAAAACGGTTCTAGTGCCCTCATAAAAACCCTTTCTCCCCCGCCCTTTGCACCTCAGATGGTTCTAGTGCCCTCATAAAAACCCTTTCTCCCCCACTATTTGCACCTCAGATGGTTCTAGTGCCCTCATAAAAACCCTTTCTCCCCCGCCCTTTGCACCTCAGATGGTTCTAGTGCCCTCATAAAAACCCTTTCTCCCCCGCCCTTTGCACCTCTTTCCTCCCCTCCCCTCCTCCCCATTTCAGTGCGCATATCTCCACATTGGAACGAGAGCAGCCGCAGTCTGGAGCAGATTCCCCTCCCGTCTTCCCCCCTCCCAGGCGCCTGCTCTTCTATCCGCGCTCCCTCAAGGTGCGTGGGCAGCCCGATTGGTTACATAGGACCACCGATGCATTTATTCCGCTTAGAACAGGTAGAGGGTTGCTCATCAGTGGAAGCAGGGGAGGCTGCACCAGGGGCAGATGGCTCACCCCTGAATTTCCCCCCTCCTCTGCCTGTAGCCAAATTCACCCTGCACTCTACCTCACAGGCTGGCTGTTCCCTCCTCTACATCGGTATATTCTTTACCCCGTTCTCATCCTTTGTAACCCGTACACCCCACCCCCGGGAACCCAAATCCCCCCTTCCCTTCCCCTCCCTTCAGGTGCAAGTGTCTCCCCTGCAGTGCCCCCCTCCCCTCCCTCCAGTCGACGCCCGCCCCGGCCTTTACCTCACAGGCTGGCTCTTCCCCCCTCTGCCACGTGTCAACGTGTCAGTGGTTGCTGACGCTGACAGTGCAAACTCTGGGTGGCAGAAGGGGCAGGTGGTGATGTGGGCTGAGACTGTGGGGCGAGTGAGGGGGGTGGAAGGGGAGGGGAGTGCGGAGGGGAGTGGGGAGGGAAGTGTGGAGAGGAGTGGGGAGGGGAGTGTGGAGAGGAGGCAGCATGGAGGGATGGAAGGAGAGGTTTTTGTGGTGGGGCCTTTGAACGACGATGCCACTTACCATGTGGAGCTTCAGAAGGTGTTTTTTTTTCTTCTTTCCTTTTTTTTTTTTTTGCATGTCATTGTTGTTGCTTTGGTTCCCTTTCAGCATTTCTTCATCCTTCTGCAGCTTTTTTTTTTTTTGGTCCACCAAGACTGACGACTGCTGCCGCTCACCAAATTCCCCCCTCTTCCAACCAACCACCCTCCTTGTTCTCCCAACCAGGCGGGTTACGTTTTCAAGGCGCTAGGAGACAACTCGTTTGAAGCACAAAAGCTCGCTTCAATCACCGTCAAAATCGCCACGTCAGCAGAAACTTCCACGGCCAATGAGCCGCTGCCATCTGTCCTCCTCTCACTCACCGGAGACGCCAGCTTTAGGCGCAACGAGGCAACATTGCCCGGGCAAAATGTTTTCGCGTTCGAGGGTTTGTTTCCTGGCAGCTACTACCTGCGGCCGGTGCTGAAGGAGTATGAGTTTTCGCCGGCTGCCCGCCCAATAAATTTGCAGTCCGGGCAGGAGGTGGACGTGGCGTTCACTGCAAAGAGAGTTGCCTTCAGGTGAGGTTCAACTTTCAGGCGTATTGTCAGGTGTGTTTCTCTCAGTTGAAATGTCAGGTGTCTTTTATGTGGGTTCATTCAGGTGGATTTCAGGTATATCAGTTTATGTTTTGTCTAAGAGTGCTTTCTCCTCTCTCCTCCCCATACCCCCTCCCCCCTATTTTTCGCTCAGTGTGCTGGGTTCGGTGCGTTCTTTGTCAGGAGCGCCAGAGGCAAGCGTGCAGGTGGAGGCGAGGGAGGTGGTATCTGGGGGAGGCGGATCACAGTCATCTCACTACGAGATGGCTGTCACTAACGAGGATGGGGAGTACAGGCTGAGAGGGCTGCGGCCGGGAGGGGCTTACCTGGTGGAAGTGGCAGTGAGGGCCGGTGCTGCTAAGGACTCCACCTCGCTGCCTCGATTCGAGCGTGCATCACCGAACCAGGCTCTGCTGGTACGTCACTCGCTCTCTCCCGCACTCCCCACACTTATCTGGTGGAGGTGGCAGTGAGGGCCGGTGCTGCTAAGGATGCTGTCTCGCTGCCTGGATTCGAGCGTGCATCACCGAACCAGGCTCTCCTGGTACGTCCAGTCTGAGGTGACTGTGTCACTGTCGCCGGGAGGGGCTTATGCGGTGGAGGTGGCAGTGAGGGCTGGTGCTGCTAAGGATGCCTCCTCACTCCCTCGATTCGAGCGTGCATCACCGAACCAGGCCCTGCTGGTAAGTCACTCACTCTCTCCCACACTCCTCTAGCGCATCCTTCAGAATGGGGGGCCTGGGGCCGGGGCCTGGGAGGGGCTTATGAGGTGGAGGTGGCAGTGAGGGCAGGCGCTGCTTAAGTTGCTGTCTCGCTCCCTCGATTCGAACGTGCATCACCGAGCCAGGCTCTGCTGGTACGTGCCTCTCTTCTATTCCAAACATCAATTTTGTGGTCTTCAACTCGCCCCCGAGTGTGACTGTAACGGGGGCAGTGAGTGGCAGAGACATAGCCGCAAACAGCTTTAATGTTTTCCACCCTCCCGGCCCGTCTCACTCCCCTTCCTTACACTCACAACTCCAGACAATCACAGGCGATGTCCCGAATGTCAACTTTGTGGTCTTCAACTCGCCCCTGGGTGTGACTATAACGGGGGCAGTGAGCGGCAGAGACACAGCCAAGTGGTTGCCGAACCTCTTTGTCGATCTCTTCCCAAGCGTGACTGTACCCGCAAGTGACAATAACGAGGGCACTGGTACGAGCAGCAGCAGCAGCAGCACCAATGGCGCGGCAGCAGGAGCAGATGGAAGCTTCGAGGAAGCTTCCACTCTCCCCGTCTTCTCTTCCACTCCCATTCGCTCCATCCCCGTCCCGCTCTCGCGATTCTTCGAGTTTCGCGACCTGCCCAGGGGCATGTACCTCGTGAAACTGCGTCTTGGGCTGCCCGGAAAATCTCACGTGTTTGAGAGCGAGGGCAGGGAGGTGGATGTGAGGGAGGCGGTAACAGCTCATGCAGGGACGCTGCGTTTCCGGGCCGAGGAGCGTAGATCAAATGAGGTGAGCCTTTGCTCCCAATTACAGCTGCGAAATTAATTAATTTATTTGTTTGCTACCCCGCTTCCAATTTCCTGATTTACCCTCCACACTCACTAGTTTCTTGCGGGAATCATTCAGCTGACACTCACTTCCCAGCATAGTCCTGTTCTTTAATCCTTTCCTTGTCACCCCCTTGTCAAGTGCCATGGCACCCAAATCGTGTGCCCTTAGTTGCCTCTTTTAGAAAGTATGTTTCACTCGTATCAAAATCGTTCAAAACCGTTCAAAACCGTTCCACTCTTCCCGCATCCCTGCTGCCCACCAGGACCTTGCACCAACCCCGCTTCTCCCGGTGCTGCTTGCAATAGCCGTCATCTCGGTTGTTGCATCCCTGCCCAAGTAAGTTGCTTTGCTACAATGCACCATCGATAGACTTTGGAAGTGGTTTGAAGTTATTTTATCTGCATTTTATCAGCCATGTGTTTCTTATTCAGAAACATCTACAAGTGCCTCTGGTTCACCTGGAAATCAGCTGCTTGCGATTGCAGTTTTTCTTTGGCACCTTCAAAGCCCTCCTCAAGTAAGTTTTGGTCTTTATCGGGGTGCATTCTCTTCCATGTGCTGAACTGTTTCAGGCTGCAGCAATTGGCTGCAGGAGTGGCAGCCACCGGGGGTACGACACCTGGCTCTGCAGCTGGCGACAGCTCAGCAGCACCAGGCGCTGCTGGTGGGTGGGGGGGCTCTGGCGCAGAGTCCCGTGGGAAGAACGAGGTCCGGAAGCCTAATGTACGCCGGCGAGCATAAGTTTCACACCAGGACAAATGTGTTGCATCTGCTATATTTCGTGGTAATTTCCTTTTGAATCAGCTTGGTATTTTCTTCTAGGAAAATAATAAATCATGATCCCCACAACAGCTTTGGTAGGCTTGTGGTGTAGATTAGGTACCAAGGTAGAAACGTTACACTTGGTCCAAGTTGGTGCAGTGCTTCCTCCTCAGTCACCTCCACATCATCACCTGCGACATTTTTCTCCACGCCACGTTGACAGGCATTCCGCCCTTTTGGATAGCGTGCACCCAATCCGCCTACAAAGCAACCCTCGCTAATTTTGAACACTCGTCAATTTCCTCGATAGTATCACATTTGCGTCCTCGTCAGCCCTTGGGATTTGTTCTGTCACGAGCAATCACCGTTCTCAACCGTTTTTTACTCTTGCGAAGTGTTCCTGTGTTGCTTCAGAAATTGATTCGATTCCTAAATTAGCGTGAGGGGTTTAGAACCTGGTAACTGACATTCAGTCTTTGGAGTCCGACTCGGCGTTTGACGAGTCTCTCGTTCCGCGCGGTATTCGCGTACGACATCAGTCGCGCGTGAGTTTCCATCTAGGCGAGTGCTTTTTATCTCTAGAATAACCTGCCTAGACCTCATCAGTGTTCACACGCATTCCGCCATGGCTACTATCCGCAGCGTTCTATCCGCTCAGGCAGGAGCGCAGCAGATCAGCTTCTCGGCCACGTGTCAACGCAGAGCGCAGCGCCAGGCAGTCACACCAACGGCCAGTTTCCCCCGCAACCCCGCGTTCCGCGCTTCCGCCGCTCCCCCCTCGGCGCATCCCTCCGCTTTCCTAGGCCAGCAGGACTCCCTCCGCTTGCGCAAGCCCTCCCCCTCCGCCGTCTCCCCCTCCGCGCCCCGCCGGCGCGTCTCCCCCGTGAGAGCCGCGGATGGCGACAGCGACGTCCCCGCGTTCAAGGGCTTTCCGCCGATGCAGACACGGCCCGCGTGGTACTGGCGAATCGCAGCCGTCGTTCCGTACCTGCTGCCGCTATGCGAGGCGTGGATCTACAGCGAAACGGCTCAATCGCTCTTCCATTTCCTCTTCACATACGAGCAGCTGTGCCAGCCGTTCCTGATGCTGCTGGGGCTGCTCCCTTCCTGGTTCATGCTTGCGTACTTCTTCGGAGCGTACCTTGGGGTTGTCAGGAACAATCGCTGGCCGCATTTCCTGCGGTTCCACGTGGTCACGGGGATGCTTCTGGAGATTATTCTCCAGGTTGTTGGGACGCTGAATGATTGGATTCCCAAGTCGATTTACTGGGGGAAGATCGGCGCGCACTTTTGGCTCGCTATTGCGGTCGCGTTTATCTTTATCGTGCTCGAGTGCATCTGGTGCGCGATTCGCGGGACGTATGCTGACGTGCCGTTTATCTCAGATGCGGCGTACATGCAGATCCCGTATGAGTAAAGAGGTAGGGTTACAGTTTCGTGACATGCCCGTTAGCGGTATATGTTGGATTATACTAGGTTGAAGAACAAGAATAATAATTTTGCTACAGTCACGTTATCAGCATTGCCTCGTATACATTCCTTGCACAGTTAGTATCACCAGCGGATCCCGTATAGCCGTTCTATTAAGGGATGTGTGAAATGAATAATGGCGTTGCCCTTCACTTCCAGGTCCATTCCCTGCCCCAATCTCCTCCTTTCTCTCCCCCCCTCCCTCCCCCTTCCTCCCCCCTGCTATTTTCTTCTGCCTCCCCCTCCGCTCCCCCCTCCACCCATCCGCTCTCTTTCTAAATATCCTTCCGTTCTCTTCTCCCTGTTATTCCCGGGCTCCCATCTTCTCCTAACCTCCTAGGCGCTTACCTTCTCCCCTTCTCCGCCGCCCTCGTTCCTTTCCGATTCCTATATTCCTTGTCAGGCTTCTCCTCTCCCTTACTGCTCTCTACAATACCTTTCTCACTCCTCTTCCTCTCATTTCCTCTCATGACTTGTCCCTCCCCCCCTGCCCCACTTCCTCCCCTTTCATTCATTTCATGCTTTCCCTCACATTCTTGACTGACGGGTCTATCATCCCCACCTTTTTATTCTTCCCCATCGTTTGTGTTCCCCCTCTTTCTTGTAATGGTTCTTTGTTGCGTTCCCACCCACCCATCTTCCCTGCCGTTTGTGTCCCCTTCTTGTGATGGAGTCTCTGTTACCGTTTGATTGTGTTGTAATGATGCGTTTTTGGAAGTAAGAATGCGTATCTAAGGGCCCCTATGTGCCTTAAAGCCAGGATCTCAAGTAAGAGAATTGGCCTTCAATTGCAAAACACTTGCAGCGCTTGTTACCCTATTTTTGTAGGCGAATTGACTGGCTGGTTAGGAAAGTGAGCGTGCGGCACACCCACGATTTTGCCCCTAGAGCAAATGCAAAACATTTTGCTGGTACATGAGATTGTTGTGTGTGACGAGAAATTGCAGGCATTGGAGCTTCGTCACCGAACCAGTTTCCGAGCCTTGCTTGGTTCGGACTGAACTTGCGATTTGTCTTTACTTCGCACCCCTCGCTTCACACCTCGTCAGATTGTTCACCTCGCTAACCAATCGCAGCCCAGCTCCCCTCACCAACTGCAAAACAATTGAACTACTTGAGATCCTGGCTTTAACAGACACACTTCTTGCACATTTACAAAGCTCATGTCTTTTTTTTCAACCTAGCAAGTACTTGCTAAGACACAATGTTCTCAGAGCTAGTTGAAAGGCTGTGCTCTTATAACGAGCATGCGCAGACCACACTCGTTTTGATTCGATAATTCCTTCCGCGAAATCGTACTTTTGCGGGAATAGCTGGTACGGTACATCCGCCGCCAGCTGCTCATTTGCCAGCTGTTTTTGGCAGCTTATTGGCTGACGCGAATGGGCACGCGAAATTTGTCGTTCTGTTTGCATTAATTTCGGGTTTATGATCAACGATGAGACATCCGTTTCATTCCAGCCTTGAAAATCTGGTCCCAGAATTTCGTTCGCACTGTTCTTGGGGGAGGAAGTTTGGCATCATCAGTGGCACAGTGTGGTGTGGATATCCGCATGCCACGTCAGAAATTATGCGTGAGCAAAACCACCACCATTCATGAATCATTCATGAGCCGAAAATCACCACTGTGGCCTCCTCTTGGAAAGTGGAAGTGGAAGTGAAGTGTGCTGTTTACCTACCACCTCCGTCGTACAGCTGCTGGTTACCTTGTTTCGTCGTCACAGCCCTACCGTACTCTACTTTCTTCTTGTCGCAGATAAGCTCGCTCGTATTACGAAAGTTACAGAACTTTGACCTCAAGTTGGCCCCTGCCAGCTCAACTGTCGTTTTGCGCATTGTACTCTCTTCCCTCGTTCCCCCTACCTCTCCACGTCTCACATCCCCCACGGGACAGCTGTATGTTCGCCTCACTGGAAGAAGGAATCGCACTGGCATGTCGGGTATGTCCGACCCGAACTCCACCAAAATGTTATAGATTCCAAATAAACCGTCCTGCCACGCGAAGAAACGTATCGAACCGCCGTAATAATTCTTGAAAGCTCCCCCTTCCATCAAGAATTCGATGGAGCGTTTGATCACGATACGCCAGCTTGTTTTCTCAACTCATGTCTGTCTTCTTTCACTTCCTATGTTTGAACTGATTCTTGGTAGACAAAAGCCACGGTCTCTCGAGTCTTAGTCTAACTTGTGATCACATACCCCATCGGTCCGCCTCATAAAAATGACGTCACGTGATAAACAATGGGAAACCTTACAATTCGGCACGCCCGGCTCGTCCTCCTTCCGTATGATTTTTCTCCACGCCACCCACCGCCATATCCTCTCCCCTTGCCACGATATCCCGCTTTACGACCCTGATTGTCTCTTCCATTGCATCTCGGCCGCTCCCGCCGGGACATGGCTTCCGCACGATTTCGCTCCCGAAGATTACAACCCATTAAGTTGCGCAACGTCCCTGGATTCCGCGACTTCAGGAATCTTCGACGCTTTAGGAGGGTCATCAGGAGGCGCTAGCGAGGGTACAATAGTCTCAGCGGCTGTTCCGAAACATTTCTCTACAAACTGCCCGTGGAGTCTCGGGCTGCTGCCCCAAACGCGACAGGATCCGGACGATACCTGCGATGAGTTACCAAATGTGCCTGGCGACGAGCGGCCGATAGAGGTTATTGAGATTAGCGGTAGTGAAATCGGTCTCGGCGAAGTAGTTTCGGTCAAGCCTCTCGCAGCTTTCGCCGTCGCGTCTCCGACGGGAAAGAGTTTCGCATGGAAGGTTGTTGCGATTTCGGGTAACTGCCCCGTCGCCAGCGTGCTGGAGTCGATGGAAGACGTCGAGGCGTCGTTTCCAGGGTCGCTTAACGACATTCGCGAATGGCTTCGCACGCGCGACGTTCTCCAGTCAAACGGCCGGCACGCAGCAGGTGAGGCCGGTAACTTTCGTCACGGCGTTACCGTCATATCCACTTCTCCTCCGCTTCTTCCCCAACCCCTTCCCCACCTCAACTTCCTCCTATCTGGTTTTGAGACGACTCGTAAACTCTTTAGATTCGCCGTTTCTTTGAGACTAATGGATGCTCTTACGGTGTTGTTTCCTCTTCTTCCCTGCTTCTCCCTCCTCTTGCGGTGTTCTGCCAACTGCATTGCCCCGCTCTCTCCAACTCTTCCCCCACTTCTCCTCTCTTCCTCCCCCCCCCGCCCCATCCCCCCTTCCCCCATCCCCCCTCCGTGCTTTTCCACATCCCCGCTTTCCCGCTTCATCTACTCGTGCCCCCTTCCTTCGTCTTCTACTCATCTTCAGTTTTCTTCCTCCTTCCTTTGTCTTCTCCATCCACCCTTCCTTTCTTCCCGCTCTCTCCATCTTCTCCCCCCACTTTCCCCCACCCTCTCCATTCCCGCCTCTGCCCCTTTCCACCTCACCCGTTCTTCTCGAACCGCAGATCTTCCTTTCGTCAGCGAGCCGTTGGGTCCGGAGCGCGCTCACGCGGTGGTGGCGCGAGCGAACGCCACGTGGCAGCTCTTCGTCGATCAGAACGTCCCCGCGGAGCCCTGGGCGCCGCCGGCCGCCGTCCTCAACGGAAGCTTCCTCGAAAGCATCTGGAAGCGCAAATACATGGGCGACTGCGCGCCGTCCGCCGCGATTCCCGTTTCCCAGCCGGCGCATTTGCAGCAGCAGCAGCAAGCGGAGAATGCGGCGCAAAAAGCGGCAGCGGAAGCGGTCTCCGGCGCTCTGGTGGAGGAAAAGCCAGCCAACGGCAAGTGGGGCGGGAAGCTGCGAGGAATCTTCCGGACTAAAAGCGGTCGGCTCATGCCGTCGCGACTCGGCGGCGGTTCGTCCGATAAATGCCCCATTCCCAAGGCTTCCACCAGCCATTGCAGTAACAGCAATAGCAGCAGCAGCAACAGCAGTAGCAGCAGCGGTAGCGGCGGCGGCGGAGGTGGCGGAGGCGGGGGAAGCAGCGCCGGCGCGGGGTTCGGCAGTGGCATGGGTAGCCTCAGATCTTCTGGTAGCAGCCCAGAATCGAATCTTCTCCGGCAACAGATTCCGTTCAGTGGACACGTTTGGAGCCACGCGGAATCCGGCGAGTCGAGGGAAGCCTTCGGGGACAGGTTGCGGCGCGCCACGTCATTGGATCCCGGGCAATTGGAGCCCGGGAGTGGGAAGAGCAGCGGATTGGGCGGCGCAGTTTCGGGGCATGGCAAACCGCCGGTGCAGCACAGGCGGTGCGAGAGTTTCGAGCACTACGGTTCGTCGAAACCTAAAGGTTTGCCTAAAGCGGGAGTTAGCACGAATAGCCCCAACCCGTGCAGAAAACCGCCAGGTTTATCCCCTTTAAGGCTGACCGCGGAGCCGAATAGACACGGAATTTTGAAGCCGAGTTCCTCTAGCGAGTCGCTGGAAAGCTTAGGGAGCCATAAACGAAATGACTTCGGAAGCAGTTCGCACAGTCAGCAAATTATTCAGGAGGAAGAGGAAGAGGAGGAGCCTCCGATCCATTGGCGGAGGAGCAAATCGGAAACTGTCAACAGAAATAAGGATAAGGAAGACGGGGAAGTTACCCTTGTGAGATCGAACACAGCGGGCAGGAGAGTGAAATTTAAGGAGGAGGTTGATGTGGTAATGTTGGCTGACGAGGACGAAGGCGACGAGAGAGCAGCGGGAGGGGCAGATGATATTTTCCAGCTGAAGTTTACCCTAGCTTTGGCGCTTGACAATGAGGGGCAAGTCTTTCCATCTCCTCGGAAAATACTGTTCACGAATGCATGACTGCCCTGAGCCTAACTCAATTATTGGGCTTCGCTCTGCTGCATCACATGTAATCAGACATGATATGGAGCTTCTTGGATGTGAGGCCGATGCGTTGCTACAGAAGTCTGCTACATACTGTCCTCCTGCTCCTGCTTCACACTCCCTACATATGCCCCTGCATACCGCCCTGCTACAAACACCCTGCTACGGACCACCCCACTACAACCCGCGCTTCTACAGGCCGTCCTGCTACAGACTAGCCTTCTACGTACCACTCTGCTATGTACTACCCTTTCCTGCCATGTCACACTTACTCTGTTTTGTGGAGATAGGGAACGCCAATTCAACAGCTCGACGCGCGCAGTCATCATGAGTACATGGGGAGCTGCTGCTGTGGTGTGCTGTGTGATGTACCATGTGAGAGAAGGGGTGGTGAGAGAAGGGGTGGTGAGAGAAGGGATGGCTGCCAAGCAGAGGGGAAAGGAGGTGTGTGAAAGAATGGATTTGGGGGAAATGGAGACAGGAGAAAATGTGGAGGAAGGAAGCAAAGGGGATGGAGGATAAGGGATGACAGAAAAAATGTGAGCCTGAGATTAGAGAGAGGTGAAGGCAGTGATGCTCGCTAAGTTTTCAAGTGGCTGCTGTACCATTTGAGTAGAGGAGTCATGGACACTGATACATTCCCAAATACTTGTGATCATGCACCCATGTGTTTAGGTTGCATCTTATGTGTGTTTGATTATTTTGTGTGCAATTTCTATCATATTATGTGCTTCTTGCCTCTAACAGAACGGACATGTACTTCGTGTTAATTTGTTTGACTGAAGAGGCCAAATACGCAACCTAACCAATATACCGTTGGGCTGAAAAAGCTCTTAGGATCTTTGCAGGGCAGAAATCAAGGGTAGGATGATGTGGTAGCGGAAGCGTTTAATGAAAGATTGTGAACCACCTTGCGCTTGTATGTGAGGGCAAAGTAAGTTAATTAAACAAAAGAGATACAAGCTTTTATAAGAATACAGAGAATATGAAGAGATACGGTTACTAACTGTTTTACTGTTGCTGTTGCGGTTCGATACAGTGTCGACTCGGGCAACTGCTCAGTATCGAGACAGTTGTTTGTCCTTGCTGTCGCGCTGCATTTGTCAGGTCAAAGGTCGCTGACCTTTGACTTTCGCGTAACCTCCAACAGTTATTCAACCTCCGAGGGTTGACTTGACTCACCGATGTTTCGATACGATCTGCTTGGTGTTTCGACACGACAGAGGCGCTTAAATTAGTTGTTTCCAACACTCCCCTTCGCTTCTGGAGTGTCGCTGCAAGTGACGTGGCTCTGTCCAGTCAGCAGCATGCAATATTCGAACTTCGACTTTCCGAGCTTCTTGGTCAAGTAATCGGCTGCCATCTCGGATGTGGGGCAGTAAGACAGCTCAAGTCTTCCCTTCTCGATCTCGTCCTTTACGAAGAAATATCGCAGGGCGATATGTTTCGTCCTGTTCGCGAATCCATTTTTGTTGGCGATGCGAATTGCCGACTGGTTGTCGCAAAATAGGGAGAAGCTGGGTAACTGGGCTAGCTTCGCTTCCTCCAAAAGTTCGCGAAGATACAATCCTTCCTTGGTGGCTGAGCAGAGTGCGATATATTCAGCTTCAGCTGAGGAGAGGGCGATTAATTCTTGTTTGCTCGACTGCCACGAAATAGGTTCGATAGGCTCGAGACGGTAGATATAGCCTGTGCGCGAGCGCCTGTTGTCAGAATCTCCGGCGTGGTCAGCGTCGACGTAGCCGATTAGCTTGGGCATTGTAGTTACGTTTTTTTAGTAGATCAGGCCGATCGTCGGAGTGCTTACGAGGTAGTGTAGGTCCTTCATGTGTTGATCTTCAGGCCTTTTGAGGTAGGTGGCGAGTTGGCTTGCTGAGTATGATAGGTCTGGACGACAGGTGACGGCCGCGAAGAGAAGGCATCCTAGCTTGTCAGAGGTCCACTGGTGATCACCGATTGATCCTAGGGAAGGGTTACAGGCATGTTGGCCTGGGGGGTTATGGGCGCACTGACCCGCTACTTAACAAGCCCTTTTATCCCAATGGTCTAGTGGTTGGGATTCTGACATGGTATCAGAGCGAAGGTCTCGGGTTCGAATCCCGGTGTGTGCACTTCGGGCATCCCAGTGCGGGGGGGTGTCAGAGGTCCACTGGTGATCACCGATTGATCCTAGGGAAGGGTTACAGGCATGTTGGCCTGGGGGGTTATGGGCGCACTGACCCGCTACTTAACAAGCCCTTTTATCCCAATGGTCTAGTGGTTGGGATTCTGACATAGCTTTCTCTGGTAGTTGCGTATGTCGGCGGGTTTCAGTGGAGCGGATTCTGCCTTGTCATTTCCTGCCGTGTAGCGGTATGGCGTAGAGATGGTAGTTGGCGTGAGTGCGAACCGTTTGGCGATGGTGTCGGCATACTTTGCGGCGTTGAGATAGATCGCGTCTTCTCCTTCTTGAATGTTGAGGCCGAGGTATTGCGTGACGGTAGATGAAACCGTGAGCGTAAGTTCTTTCTGTAACTCCCCTTCGAACCAGGTAGTGACATTGTCGGTTGACCCGATGTAAAGCAGATCGTCTACGTAGACGATTAGTAGAATGTAGTCGTCGTCTTTCGTGAATCGGTACATGCCTTGGTCGTGCGGCAGCTGCTTGAATCCGATGCGAATGAGCCGAGCGTGTAAGTACTGCTGCCACAGTCTCGGGGCCTGTTTAATCCCGTACAGAGATTTTTGCAGTTGACAGACTTGATTGGGTTCTCCATGGGAACCGTGTGGAAGTTCGACGAAGATCTCTGCGTCGACAGGTGCGTAGAGAAAAGCATTGGCAACGTCGATTTGCCGCAGTTTCTTCTTTTTTATAGCGGCGACCGCGAGAAGAATCCGTAGTGAAGTATGTCGACTAACCGGTGCGAATGTCTCAGTAAAATCGCGTCCGTGCTCTTGGTCGAAACCACGTACGACCCAGCGTGCCTTGAACTTGTCGATGGTGCCGTCTGCTTTCGTCTTCACACGGAAGACCCACTTCCCGGTGAGTATCGTCTTGTTTCGTGCCACGCCAATAGGAACAACCTTCCAGGTGTTGCGCTCCTGTAGTGCTTTCAATTCCTTGTCCATGGCTTCACGCCATTTTTCCCTATGCTCCCCCCCAGAGCCTGCTGAACTGTGGCAGGCTCCTTAGGAGGATCCGTGCCGTGGACCGCGGTGACGAGACCAAGTATTTGAAGGCCACTCTGTGTGTAGCGGGGGAGTGTTATGTCCGCGGGATAAGCTGCTTCGTCACCGGCTTCTGGGTCAGGTATGAAATTAGGTCCTACGCGTTCTGCTTCGTTGGTGTTGACTTCTGCAGGTGTAACGTAACCAGTGTCGGCGAGGTCGAAATAAGTTTCGGCGTTGACGCTTTCGCGAGGATTTTCGTCATCCATCGGGATAGGCACAGAGCAGTAAGGAAGTGGTCCTGCTTCGTCTGAGGCGTTATCCACATTCTGCTCGTCCCAGTCAGCTTCGTCTGCTGTCGAGGCGAAGTGTCGGTCACCATGGAAGCCACCTGTGGGATCCCGATTTTCTTCCAGGTTGGCAAGATACGTCGGAAGGGTGAGTCGTTCGTAGAAAATGACGTCACGTGCTGCTACTGTTTCTTTGGAGTGGACGTCGAAAATCTTCCACGCGTTGTAATTTTTCTCGATGCCCAGGTGTAGTCCCCACTGTGCTCGTTGGGAAAATCGGCCGGCTCGTGCAGATGGGGGTCGGTACTGTACCATGCAGCCGAAAACTCTTAACATTTTTGTGCTGCCCTGTTTTCCTGTCCACAGCAGGTGCGGTGATGCGTTGTTCGGCAGTGACGACGACGAAAGCAAGTTGTGCAGCATGACAGCGTGGTCCATCGCTTCAGGCCACTGGTGATTGGGCAGTCGCATGCCACGCAGTAATTTGCGCATGGTGTTCTGGAGAGTTCGATTCATCCGTTCCGCCACCCCTTGCTGTTGATGGGCGTAAGGAAGCGAGATGAGCCTTTTGATTCCCTTTTCTGCCAAGAACTGCTTGAACCTCTGTGAGGTGTATTCTCCTCCTCCATCTGACTGAAAGCTCTTCAGTTTCTCGCCCGATTCTCGTTCTGCTACGGGGAGCCAAGCGATGAAGGCTTCGAAGGCCATGTCCTTGCTCGGAAGATTGAGGTGCCAGACGTAACGTGTAGCTGCATCGATGAACGTGATGGTATAGCTGTATGCGCCTTGTCCGGGTTCGCGATTGTACAGGATGTCGCTGTACACCTTTTCAAGTGGTGTGTAAGCTGGAGCGATGGGGTTGTGGTGAGAAGTGAAAGGTCGATGCGGTAAGTCAGCTTCGGGGCAGGTAAAACACGTTCCTCGCGCTCGTCGAAGTTCACTTCCATCCGTTAGGAGTAGTGAATCTTTGTCGAGTACGCCTGCTCGGATTGTATTGTTTAACACCGTGTTGCTTGGGTGTCCCATGCGTGCGTGCCAGATGTCTTCGCTGGCGCGATGTCCGGGTGAACGACGATACAGATCGGAGTTGGAGTAAGAGGCGGCGGTGAAGTTGGCGCTTCTGTGAACTTCACGAGGAGTGGGAGTTAGCTGCTGTGCAGGAGTCGGTGAAGTATTGTCGATGTGTGGCGATGTCGTTGAAGAACTTGCGACTGGTGTTGTAAGTGATGTTGGTGTTGCCGATGTTTCTGCTGCTGCCGATGTTGTTTCTGCTGCTGCCGAGTGTTGAATCGTTGCTAATGCTCTTGTTCGTTCTGCTTCAGGGATGGTGTGCGAGTACCAGAATCCTTCTGGACTGAAGTCAGGATCAAGATCCGGTGGATGTGTCCAAGAAGTAAAAGTGACAATCCCGTCGCTGTCGGCAGTGCCGAGATCTGGGACGAAGTCGAGGACGAAGACGTTATTCTTTAATACTGCTTTGCCGATGTAGAGTCCCCCTCGACCGTGGAAGAGCTTGAACTCCTGTGTGGTACTGTCTGCTTCGAGATGGATCCCCTTCGCCATTAATTGGCTGACGCTCAGTAGGTTGTAGCCGAGTCCCTCTGCTATTAAAACCTTGGACATTTGCAGTATAACGTTTGTCTCTCGTGACTGAAGTTGCACTACGCCTTGTCGTCGTGTGCGCAGGTTCTGATTGTTGGCGACGGTGATGACGACCTCTCGTTGAAGTTGGTGTTCACGTTGAACAAATCGTCCTGAAGAGCACATATGCTGACCACAGCAACTGTCCAAGAACCACGTATCCTTCTCGGATGGCTCGCTTTGAGCGATGGCTGCGTACGTTGGATTTGGTTGAAGTGACTCGCGGCGAGGCGTGCTGTTGTCGAGTTGTTCTTCCGGTGAGTAATGTGGTGGAGACTCGGTGATGCAAGAGTCGGTCAGACGTGTCATACAACTAACAATGTTTCTTGTTTCTTGCGCAGGTTGTCCCATCGATGTCGTTGAGGCTTGTATTTGAGAAGTCGAACTCGCTTGAGTTGAGGCAACTTGACTGCTTGAAGGCCGAAGTTGTCGCTGCGTCGGTACTGACTGTTGTCGGTTAGGGCAGTGTGAATGAGGATGCCCTGACATCTTGCAGAGATGACAGAACGGAGGTACTGATTTCGGTTGATGCCGATTGTTGTTGTTGTAGCGTCGTTGAGTGTGGAATGCGAATTCGGGCACTGATGTCTTCTTCCTGTGTCGTTCCTCTTGCAGGTCCATATCTTGCTGCTCAGCATGGATTTCGGCGCAGAGTGCTGCTTCTGATAACTTTCCATGTGCTCGGAGTATGGCGCGGGTGGAGCGCCACTGAGGACCGAGGCCACCGATGATGACTGTGACAAAGGCGTCTTCTGAAATCGACCCTCCGCATCGAAGGAGTTTGTCGCGCAATTCGCGACAACGGCTGATATACGCCATCCCCTTTTCGCCTGGTTTCATTTCGACTGTCGTCAGTTGCGCCATTAACCGACTTTGATTTACGCTGTCCGTTGCTTGATACAGGTTCTTCAAGTGGTTGTACGCGAGCTCTGCAGAGTTGCCGTAACCCCGGTAAGACCGTATGTTTTGCTGCTGACTTGGAGTGATATTTCTCAGTAGTATTGTGTACGCCATCATTGACTGATAAGTGTACTGCTGCTTGTCGTACTGTGTGCCGTGTGTTGGATATGGCAGGGACCCGTCGAAGAAGCCAAGAATCTGCGCGCCTTCCATCATTAGCTCGAACTCGAATGACCAGGTAAAGAAATCCTTTCTGTCGAAAGGCCTTGTCGTCTGCAGTTTTAGGACGTGCGCGAACTGCGACTGAACTTGAAGTGCATCCAACGTCTTTTCTTGTCCGGATGCAGGCTGCGGGTGTGGCATAAAGCTGACGGAGCCACGCTGGGGCTCATACGGGGCAAAGGTAGGCCGTTGCTGTTGGTTTCCACGTGCGTACGATGAACCGTCGAGGCTCATCGGTGTTGCATTGTTGTTGTTGCTGTTGTTTGACTGTGCAGGTGCCCCTTGCTGGTGCTGTTCGTAGAAGGACATGAAGGAGAAGAACTTCTCCATCATGTCTGGATCGAAGGCCGCGGCTTGATTTGCGGGAGTTTCCGAAGACGATGCCCTTGGTCTTGTTGCCGTACCCTCCTCTGTCTGTAGGCCAGAGGCAGGAGGTGGAGTAGGAGTAGTGCCAGGAGAGCCGTTGGAGGAGCTTCTCTCCTTCTGTGTTGCCATGTCTTGCGATGTTGTAGATGTCTTGTTTGTAGTCGAATTTGCCCTGGCTGCTCTGATACCATGTTGGGCTGAAAAATCCCTTAGGATCTTTGCAGGGCAGAAATCAAGGGTAGGATGATGTGGTAGCGGAAGCGTTTAATGAAAGATTGTGAACCACCTTGCGCTTGTATGTGAGGGCAAAGTAAGTTAATTAAACAAAAGAGATACAAGCTTTTATAAGAATACAGAGAATATGAAGAGATACGGTTACTAACTGTTTTACTGTTGCTGTTGCGGTTCGATACAGTGTCGACTCGGGCAACTGCTCAGTATCGAGACAGTTGTTTGTCCTTGCTGTCGCGCTGCATTTGTCAGGTCAAAGGTCGCTGACCTTTGACTTTCGCGTAACCTCCAACAGTTATTCAACCTCCGAGGGTTGACTCACCGATGTTTCGATACGATCTGCTTCGCTTCTGTCTTGGTGTTTCGACACGACAGAGGCGCTTAAATGAGTTGTTTCCAACATATACTACTGGATATTTCGTTTCAATTACGATATACACCGTAGACCCTATTGCTGTTCCCAAATAGCACGCAAGTCAGACCATCAGACTGTTCTTGGTGATGGATGGGCCAAGTGCAAATTGTACAAGGGAAGAAACTAGCAGTACTTGCCAAGTGGCTAGATGAGGTTGACAGCTGGCAAAGAGCTGTCTAGAGGAACAAACGCAAGGTCCCACAGTCGTACTTCTGGCGAGGTTTCGTTCAAAGTGTTTTCTAGATTTCGACGTCTATGTAAACATAGTGGGAGTGACGCAGATGGGTGGAGGAGGGACATAGCGTTCTCATTTGTTTATGTTTTCGTCATCCGAGGATGGAAAATGAACGGGCATCACAAAAGAAGCTGATGGGACGGGGACGCAAAATGCTGTTTTCGGTGAGCTTGCATCATCAGATGATCTTTTCCTGACATTTTTAGATTCCAGTTTTGTTTGTACAGCATTGAATGATGTTCCCGTGATGCTGTGCTACGAAATTTCCAGAAATGTTTGTTCGACGTTACCGTATTCACCCCCTCAAAACAAAAGCTTCAGTACCCAGATGAAGCTGAATTGAAGACTATTGCTCTCTCTTACCATACTCCCATTTCTGCAAATATGTTATTCACAACAACACCTCGATGCGCTATTTTGATTCTAAGATGGAGCCAGGACAGGTCCCGAAGGTTTTCCTGGTGTACTTGCCATTCATGATATGTAAGTTTTCTTGGTTCGGCCGCGTGCTGCTCTTGTGGATCTTCCTAGGTATGTATGAAGATTGGCCGCATTTGCACGTCAATTTCCACCCACCGAACCCACTCTACTTTCCGTTCTAAAAAACAAACTCAAACTGTGTGGTGGATTTCCTCCGTTCATTACCTGTCGGTGCCAGCTTGTCATGCCAGTTGTATGAATCGGGGAGGGGCGCTGATTACAGGTGTGGGCAAGCAGTTACAGAAAAGTTTTTGCAATTCGTGGTTTTGACAGCTCGCTTGCCTGCCTGTCTGCCTGCTTTCCTCAATCTTGTTTTTCAGCCTGCTTGTTGCTGGATTTCTCTGCGTGGATCTGGTCAAGTTTGCTTTCAAGCTCTGCCCCAGCGAAATTTCCCCCGTTATGACTTCCCGTGGCTCTCGAACCGCTGAGCCCGCCAATGAGAACCACTTGGCAGAGTGACACGTTGGACGAACGAAGGCAAATCACCTCAGGCCAATGAGCGTGTTGATTCCGCTAAACCCCCCTCCCCCAACTTTGTTCTCTCCCCTCCCTCCGCTCCCCACACCATTTCATTCCCCCCTCCCCTCTTATCTCCCCCCCACCCCCGCGCACGCAACAAACACAGCTGTTGAATTTGGATGTGGGTGGATATAATGGCGGATGATCAAGCGCCACCACCATGCCAGAGCTTGCAAGCAGGCCTGTCGAAGTCCCTGGGACCAAAACTTTGAGTCCTGTGCTGTTCGAATTCTTGCCCTGATTTTCACGGGCGTAAGCAAAATTCAAAACTTGAAATCAGGGCTGCTTAGGAAAGTGTACTTTGGACCTAATGTAACACAGGAGGATTTCTACCTCTTACTTAGCCGGAAAAGGTACACACTATATACACGCCTACAACCTCTACATCGTCCGCAAAAAACACCGTCGGTAAAATATCGGGGAGTGGGGGTTGGGGGGGGAGGGGAAGGCAGCGGGAATTCGGGTGGGGGGGGTCCTTCAAAACAGAAACCATCCCCGATTCAGGGGAAGGCCCAAACGAGGCCATTAACTGTCACGGGTGTCATGCAAATCTAACACTTTATATGGTCGAGCTGCTCGAAACGTAGGCTAGAATGTTCAGGACATTAAGGGCGAATGTCCTTGATTCTACAGTCCTGCTTGCAAGCAAGACAAGGGACGCGGGGGAAGCAATAACTGGGATAGCGGATCGACTTGGCTGCTGTTCACACACGCAAAGCAACTCCTCTCCATTCTTGTTGGCAGCAAACGAGTCAGTTGGTCTCATCTCGTCCAACAGCAGCACTTTCAAGGGATAAATTCGGCCACACATACGGAAGAAAAACTCCCATCCATAGACAGCCTTGCAGCAGCAAAAAGAAGTCTTCGTTTGGATTTGGAGGTTGGGTTGACTGTGGGGACTGTATCGCTAGGAACCCCCTACAACAGCACACACCCCTTCGCCGACAGCTTGGCAGCAGCCGTGCATAACCGCGATCTCAAGGCGAATGTATTGCAACAATCACGTGGGCAAACCACCTTACGCCACCTCACCGTGGCTCACGCCCCTGAAGCCACGTCATCTTCCACGCTAGGGTAGGTATATATTCATATTTCTTCTGTTCATACGTGGTGGGAAGTTCCACGAGCTTCCACGGACAACCAGCGTGAAGGAGAAACTTACGCGCCGCGCGAAACTTAGCCTCCTCCCCTCCGCGATTTCCTGGCCCACTCGCCGTCGAAGCCACTGAGAACTTGGCGCCACTCGTCTCCAAGCGCAAATGTCACCGCTCGTTCCGTCGTACCACCAGGTCCAGCAATATCCGTTCCTGAATGTGCTCGATCCCATGGGCTGGCCGAACAAGCGATTAAGGACCTCCTACGCAAACAGCGCCGCGGCAGCAGAGCCCTCGCGCCGCAGCTGGGTTGCTGTCCCGAGCTTGCGCCATGCGGAAGCCGCAAGCGGAGGGCGACGCGCTGCGTCTGAGATTGACGACTGCGCGACTGCATGTCGGGGGAAGGGAGGTGCGGACGCGCCGCCGCTTCCTTCCGCCTCTTGCCACATCGATCGTCTTCCCGTAGGTTTCCCCGCGCCGCGACCTCACGCTTCGCCCGCTTTCCCTTCCCAGCACACCTTTTCCCCTCCCCCCTCCGTTTCCCCCAATCTCCCAGCGTCCTCCTCTTACGCGCACTTTAAATCCATCCCCTTCATGCTTTCCCTTTCCGTTCGATTTACCCTCATTCCTCATCCGTCCGACGCCTCCACCCTCCCTCCCTCCCGCTTCCCCCTCCCCGTCCCGCTCCCCATCCCTGCGTTTACCTGTCGATCTTTTCCCATCCCCGCTCGCTTCCTTTCCTCCCATCTCTCCTCCTTTTCCCCCGTGTCCGCCTGAGCTCGCCGCAATCCCTTGCTTTATCCATCCCTGTAGAATGACCTCATTCCGACCTCCCACTGACAATCCCCCCCTCCTTCCCCCTTCTCCCTCCCCCCCTTGCCCTTGCTCCCCCTTTCCCCCGTGCGCCCGCAGGACGAGCTCGTCGCGACTATCTTGCGCGCCGTCTTCAAGAAGGCGCAATCGCTTTCCGACATCGCCAGCCTGCTGCTAACGTGAGTGCTTGGTGTAGTCTACGGTATTCCTTCCGCCCTTTATTCGGGGCATCGCGACGCGTTCCGACCCTAGGCGTGCTCTGCGTTGTATTTTTCTGTATATTTCTTAGCTTTTTATTTCCTAAATCTTCTTCTGGGCCTTCTCGTCCTGATTGTCGTTACAGATGCCGTCGCTTCTATGACATCTGTCGGCCCGCGTCGCTCTGGTCGCTGCCGGCGTCGGCATCAGTCGAGGTGCTCCTGCCGACGGACGCGGCGCACTGGACTCCCGCAGTCCAGCGATTCCTGCTGAGCGCCGCGACAGAGGGCAACATCGAGGCAATCTATATCGCGGGCATGGTGCGTGCGGGAATTGCGTGACGGCAAGAACTCCTATTGGATAGGCCCGACCAAGCGTGGAATGCCGAAGCCCACGCTAGGCGTAAATATTTAAAATTTGGATTTCAGAGTTAAATTCTAGTCGCGCCCTAATTTTGCCCTCCCTTCACGCGCTCCCCCTTGGCCCTGGCCCTCGTGAAATCTCAATTGCAGATCTCGTTTTACTGTATCGGAAATCACTGGGCGGGCGCGCGCTTGCTCGCACAAGCGGCGGAGTGCGGACACGGCCCCGCGTCCTATTCCCTTGCTATAATCAACTTTCACGGGAGTGGCGGAACCGCACGGGACACAAATCCGCAGGCGGGTGTGGATCTGTGCTGGCGTGCGGCGAAGTTGGGATTCATGCCCGCGTTACAAGAACTCGGACATTGTTTCGTGGTAAGCAATTGAAGTTGCTCCTTACTGTTTCTTCCTTGGCTTGTTTCACGCATGTACAGTTCCGGGTAATTGTAACATAGAACTCATCCAATTTATTCGAGTCCTACTTGTATCCCTAATATGTTTCTTTCTTTCTTTCTTTCCGATTCAGGACGGTTATGGTGTTTCCCAGCGCATTTCTCTCGGCAAGCTTCTGCTACAGCATGCATCAGCAGCAATGGAAGGCACCACAAGCAGCTGCCGCTGTGGCAACTGCCCGCTCTCGCCCTCCTCTCCGTTTCCTAGCCCTTTCTCCTTCCCATGTTCCGCTCCCGCTCCACCTCACTCACCTGCCGCCCCATCGACCCCATCAGCTACAGTACCTGCTGCCCCAGCAGCACCGGCTGTAGCGCAAGCCACAGCACCAGCTGTAGCACAAACTACAGCAGCCGGGACACAGGCAGCACGAACGACAGAAGCACAAGGAGCAGCAGCACCAGCAGCAGCGGATGCTCAAGAGTCTGGCAAGAAAGCTTTGCAGGCGTGGCGCAGCAGAAGATTTGGGCGGTCTTTTTCGTGGCCTCCCAGTGGGGGTAAGCTTAAGCACACCAAAGTGGTGCCCCGGCAAAGTGGGGCTCCTATAAGTGCCGGAGCTGAAGCTGCTGCTCAGTGGAATGCTTTCCTAAGTGCGAGGATGGAGGAGGAAGGGACTGAGACGGTGCAGAGAGGGGGTGAATTGGATAGAGTTATGAGACGACTACAACAGCGGGAGACAACTGAAAAGAGCACAGAGCAGCAAATCGAGTCGCCGGTGCCGCCGCCCCAACAGCAGCAGCAGCAGCAATTGAGACAAGGAAATCTGAACCTGGATCTGAACCAAGCAGTAGAGCCTGCTGAAGAGGGTCGAGAAGGCACCGCGTCTGCTTGGAGGGACTTGAACCAGCCTTGTTTGACCCTGTTGCTTGCTCCGCCCAGGGATACTCTGTATGAGCTGTTTGGAGGGGAGAAGCCCGCTGGATGGAGTATAGAGGAGGATGAAGAGGAGGAGGATGAGGAGGAGGATGCGGAGGAGGGGGAGGAGGAGAGTGGGGACGAGGAGGAATGTGAGGGTCCAGAGGAGGATGGGAAGCAGAGAGGCGCACAGGAAGACTTGTCCCAAGACCATACGGATCTGACCCTTTCTCACCATCATCATCACCATCACCACCACCCCCAACAAGGCCCTCAGCGTCACAATGAGGGGGCATCCCTCAATGCCAGCAGCGCCCACCTCACCCAGATACTGCTCTCCTCCCTCCTCACTTACACTCACAACCACACACACTGTCCCCTCTCTCTGCAGCTCGCGTTTCCCCTCCCTTCGCCGCCCCATCGCATCCACTCATTTCTTGCCAGCTGGCATGCCATCCGCCCGCTTATTGCGGGGCGCCGTTGCTGCGGCAGCCCAGCCTGTGGCAGGCCTGAGACGAGGGTCGGGGAGTTCCGAACCAGTGTTAGGTGTGGCCGGGCCAAGTACTGCAGTAGAAGCTGTCAGGTGGCGGATTGGAAGTTTCGACATTCTTTTATTTGCTGCCCCGAATAAAGGGGCAGGTTGCAGTAGCTTACATACAAACTCGTCAAGGTGCCGACTACTGTGCTACAGAGGGTACCTGTATTGTAGTTGTACTATCAATGTCAAATATACCGCACTTTCATTTACTTGATTTAGGACATGGTCCCTGAAGCACTTGAGTCCCTTGGACATTGGCCAGCAGCGTACTAGAAAAGAATGCCTGATTCACAGGAGATAAGGAAGCTCCATGGCTTTTGAAGGAGGAACACAGGGCAAAAAAGCAGACACGACAGAGGCGAACAAGAATTTGTCTGAACCCGGAATCGAACCGGAGACCTCCAGTGTGTGAGACTGGCGTGATAACCGACTACACCATCCAGACATGTCGAGGGTCCATAAACTGTTCTATCATTCGTTTTTGCGCTCTGCCTCCTTCACGTGTCGGCTCGATCAGACACTTACAAGTCATCACACGGGTTAGCTCTCCCGTTAGCGTTTCTATTCCCCACAGTACCCGGTGGGTAGGACAAGAGGCTCGGGTAACCAATCAGGCTCGGTTAGACACCCAGGTTCGGGTAGTAGGCTGGCAGGCTCGGCAAGTTAGAGCTGCTTCGGCATGCCCCAGACGAACCAGCCCGTGGGACCCGGCGCGTCACGAGTTCAACCCCGAGGCGCGGTACAATCGATGCTGGGTCAGTCACGCGTCGCCTGCACGAGGTCGCGTTTCCACCGCCGCGGCATCTTCCGGGGACAATATCGAGGCTGCTGCTTCCGAGGATGCTGCTGCCGAGCCGCATTCCCTGCCTAGCGACGCTCCGTCGCTAAAGGCCGCGCTTTACGCCGGTCTAGAAGGTGGGAGCTATGATAAAACTGCTATTGATAAATTTACTCCCAAATGTCAATTTAATTTCTTCAATTAGGTGGCAGGTCTAACTTTGACGATACCTGAGTGTTTTAATCCTGGGTTGAGTGTCTATAATATGTAATTATATGGTTTCCCCCCATACCCAATTTTTTCTCCCATACCCTCAATGCCCTCCCCATTGCTCTCAATGCTCTCCCCATGCCCCTCAATCTCCCCCCATGCCCCTCAATCTCCCCCCATGCCCCTCAATCTCCCCCCATCCCCTTTAATCTCCTCCCATGCCCCTCAATCTCCCCCCATCCCCCTCAATCTCCCCCCATCCCCCTCAATCCCCCGCCATGCCCCTCAATCTCCCCCCCTGCCCCTCAATCTCCCCCCCTGCCCCTCAATCTCTCCTCCTGCCCCTCAATCTCCTCCCATACACCTCAATCTCCCCCCCCCAACCACCTCTCATTTTTTTCTTCCAGTGACACTCCTTCCCCCCGTTCCCTTTCCTCCCACCTCCATTCCCCACCAACCCCCCACCCCCTCCATCCATCCCCCCTTGCAGGTGATTTCATTTCAAACAACTCAAAACTCACGCTATACGCCCTTCTGCTTTCCCCGACAGCACTCAAGTCTTCTCTCCCCCCGTCCCTCCCCACATCCCTGCCCTCCCCCCGCCCCTCTTGTTCCCTTTTCCTGCCCCTTCCCTCCCCCCGCCCCTTCTTCCCCTTCCCCTCAACCCCCCCCCCACCCCCCCACCTCTCCTTTCCTCCTCCGCCTCCTCCTCTCCTCCCCCCCCAAACCCCCCTGCCTCCGCCCATCTCCCTGCGCAGGCCTCAACCGGGGCATATTTGGCATGCCATTGGCCAAGCGGGCTTATAATTGAGCGCCTGGAGGAATTGAACCCGCGACCTCCCCTTCCGCTGGCCCTTCCCCCTTCCTCCCCCCCCCCAGGCCTCAACCGCGGCATATTTGGCATGCCATCGGCCAAGCGGGCTTATCTGCACGCAATAATTGAGCGCCTGGAAGAATTGAACCCGCGACCTCCCTTTCCCCCGCTCATTCCCCCCCTCCTCTTCCCGTGCAGGCCTCAACCGCGGCATTTTTGGCATGCCATCCGCCAAGCGGGCTTATCTGCACGCCCCTCCACTTCCCCTCCCCTCGAACCACGCCCTCCCCCTCCCCCCTCCCCGGCCCTTCCCCCTCTTCTCTCCCCCCAGGCCTCAACCGTGGCATCTTTGGCATGCCATCCGCCAAGCGGGCTGATCTGCACGCGATTATTGAGCGACTGGAGGAATTGAACCCGCGACCTGCTCCCACTGAGCACATAGATGAGGTGAGAGAACACAAGTGCTGTGCCAATAGCCAGGGGATAAAATGCGAGAGAGCCAATTGTTTACTGTTTTTGGAAATCAGTGGGAAAGGAGAGCACGTGGCATGAGCATGAGTCTAGGGAAGGTGGATCATTCAACATGTGAGCAAGCGAAGCTGCATGCAAGAAAGCTGCATTAATGAATTTCGAGAAGAAGTGAATTGAGGTGGGATGGGGCGAGATGGGGTGGGGTGGGGTGGGGTGAGGCGGGGTGGGGTGGGGTGGGGTGGGGTGAGGTGAGGTGGGGTGGGGTGGGGTGGGGTGGGGTGGGGTGGGGTGGGGTGAGGTGCTGCTCTACAGCATCGCCTCCACCCTCAGCTTCAAGCAACACAGGAGCCATCGCGGCGGCCACTTCTCTCCTTCTTACCTTCCCCCCACCTCCTCTTCCCCAGCAATCAGATCACAGGCCAGCCAGTGGCGGCTGCTGCCAGCCAGTGGCAGCACCATCGCCATTCTCGGCTCCAAGCGCACACCAAGCTTCTGCCTCTGTCTGTCCCCACCCCCTCCTCCTGCCACTTCTCCCCGCTTCCCCCCACTTCTCCCTTCCCATTGTCCTTATAATCACTCAGATCACAGGCGAGTGGTGGCTGCTATATAGCACCATCACCATCCTTGGATCCAAACACACCAAGCTGGGCCTGAGGGCCTGTCGTCCCACTCCTTCCCTCCGCGCCCTTCACCTCCTCTCTTCCTTCCAGATTACTGGAGAGTAGCGCCTCCTCTACAGCACCATCGCCATCCTCGGATCCAAGCGCACCAAGCTGGGCCTCAGAGACACTCTTACCTCTCCTTTACTGTCCCCACCTCCGCCATTTCTGCCCTCCCCCTCCCCCCCAAACACCCAGATCACAGGCGAGTGACGGCTGCTCTACAGCACCATCGCCATTCTCGAATCCAAGCGCACTAAGCTGTGCCTGTCTTCCCCTTCTATCTACCCTGCCTCTCCTCCCCTCCCCCTCCCCCCCAAACAATCAGATCACAGGCGAGTGGCGGCTGCTCTACAGCACCATCGCCATCCTCGGGTCCAAGCGCACCAAGCTAAGGCTGGGCCTGAGGGACCGCCTTCCCACGTCTCCCATCCTTGCGCTCCATGCCCCTCACCTCCCACTCCCCATTCCTCTCAGATCACAGGCGAGTGGCGGCTGCTATACAGCACCATCGCCATCCTCGGCTCCAAGCGCACCAAGCTGGGCCTGAGAGACTTCATTTCTCTGGGAGACTTCATCCAGATTGTAGACAAGGACACAGTGAGGTTACATGCTTTCTTGCTGACCTAGCTGGGCTGGGCCTCAGAGACTTCATTTCCCAGCTGGGAGGAATTCTTTCAGATAGTTGACAAGGACACACTGAGATCTCTCTATCTCCCTTGCTACTCGTTTGACGCGAGGGATTCACCAAGCTGGGCCTCAAGAATCTCATTTTTCTGGGGGAATTTCTTCAGATTGTAGTAGACAATGACACGTTGGTTAAGTTCTCAGTGAGGGGTCTGGGGCTTTTGAGTCGACTCAACATTCTCCTCATTTTTCTGGGGGACTTCCTTCAGATTGTAGACAAGGATTTTTTATGCGCCTCAAAAAAAGACTTCCTCCAGATTGTAGACAATGACACGCTGGTTAAGTTCTCAGTGAAGGGTCTGGGGCTGCTGTCAGTGCACCTCACATCAAAGCCACCTACCTACCCTTTGTTTCCTTCTTCCCCCCCCCCGTTCCCTGCCCTCAGAGGCGAGCAGCCAACGCGGTGGAGTTCTCAGTGAGAGGCCTTGGGCTGCTGTCGGGGAAGCTCACCATTGAAGCCACGTACACGGTTTCCTCTCCCACTGTGAGAGCCCGATACACCATGTGTGATACGGTGTTATCAAGGTTGGGGCTGTCATCCCATTGCTGTCAGGGAAGCTCACCATCAAAGCAACGTACACGGTTTCCTCTCCCACTATGAGCATCGTGTGCATTCACTCTCTTCTTTCACTCGCTGTAAGCACGATTCGCCTTCATTGACTTTTTTCCCTGTGAACACCACCATACGCCATTTGCCATTAGCTCACCATCGAAGCCACCTACACCATCGCCTCTCCCACTGCGAGAGAATGATGCGTCATGTGTCATATGGTATGATCGAGGTTCGGAAAATAATCCAATTTCTGTCAGGAAGACTCTCTCGCCTTCCTTCCCTCCTTCCCTCTGCCCACACTCCCTCTGCCCACACTCCCTCTGCCCACACTCCCCCTGCCCACATCCCCCTGTGCAAACCCTGCCCCTCTAACTCTCTCTCTTTCTGCTCTCTTCTCTCTGTTGCAGCGGGTGGACATCAAGTTTGAGAGCTCCTGCATCGTACCAGACAATTCGAATTTTTTTTTTGAGACGTCTCAAAACCCGTTCTCCTCTCCTCTCCTCTCCTCTCCTCTCCTCTCCTCTCCTCTCCTCTCCTCTCCTCTCTCTGCTCCCCGCTGCAGCGGGTGGATATCAGATTTGAGAGCTCCAGCATCGTACCAGACCAGGTGGGCTGGTTTCCTTGTGAGGATTTGTCCCAGGTGGGGTAGTTTCCCAGGTGGGGTAGTTTCCCAGGTGGGGTAGTTTCCCAGGTGGGGTAATTTCTCAGGTGGGGTAGTTTCCCAGGTGGGGTAGTTTCCCAGGTGGGGTAGTTTCCTAGGTGGGGCAGTTTCCCAGGTGGGGTAGTTTCCCAGGCGGGGTAGTTTCCCAGGTGGGGTAGTTTCCCAGGTGGGGTAGTTTCCCAGGTGGGGTAGTTTCCCAGGTGGGGTAATTTCTCAGGTGGGGTAATTTCCCAGGTGGGGTAATTTCCCAGGTGGGGTAATTTCTCAGGTGGGGTAATTTCCCAGGTGGGGTAATTTCCCATCTGGGGTAATTTACCAGGTGTGGTAATTTTCCATCTGGGGTAATTTCCCAGGTGGGGTAATCTCCCAGGTGGGGTAATCACGCAGGTAGAATCTTTACAGCTCCCTCCCTCGTTATGGTTCCTTTTCCTTATTCACTCCCCCCTCCCCACCTGAGCTAGCTGTTTCACAGCAACCACATCACCTTCTTTTGATTTTTTTTTTTTTTTTTTTTTTTAAATTCCCTTCTGAGAATTCTATTCTGAGCTAAGTGTTTCACAGCTACATCGCCTTCTTTACTCCCGTGTTTTCTCCTGCATTGTCCTCTTCCCCTTCTCCACACTGTGCCATCCCAACCCACTCCAACCTCCCCCATCTCCCCCCCTCCCTTCAACCCTTTTTACAGTTGAACAAGCTGTTTGAGAAAAACTATTATCTGCTTCTTCGGATATTGAAGTTGACTGACAGATGATTCTTTTCCCACTTCCGCCTTTTCCCCCACAACCTGTGGCAGTTGAACAAGCTGTTCGAGAAAAACTATGATAAACTTTGATCCGACACTAATATTTTCCCACTTCCGCCTTCCCCGACCCCACCATCTGACAGTTGAACAAGCTGTTTGAGAAAAACTATGATCTGCTACTTCGGATATTCAACCCGGATGGATGGCTTGAGATAACGTGAGTGCTTCTGGTGGTTGCGCATAGCATCTGTGTACTTGATGATTCAAAATGGGGTGTATGCATAGTACATGTATATACATGTACAGGTGTAAAAATATTTTCTTGATACGTGATAGAATGAGAGTGTCTAAACAGGTATTGGTTGGTTGAATTGGGCTGGTTGCATGTGTGCACATTTTCGTTTCCTTTTTTGTCCGCACACATCCACGTGTTTGTACCATCACACATCATTCCAATGCCTTGCATGCCTTTCTCTCGAATACCTCATGTGCAACCCCCTTATTGTCACACAGCTATGTGGACGACACAGTGCGAATCGGGCGTGACGACAAGGGAAATATTTTCGTGGTGGAGAAGCAACTATCCAAACAATAGGCCAATCATAGCCTGCGCTTCGGTGTGGTGCGGTGCAGAGTTGCTTTTATGGCGATGGATGCTAGAAAGGCATAGTGCCAGCGTAACGGAAACGTGTTTGTAGAAAAGAACAAGATAGAAATCTTGCATTCATCATTGAATTGTAGAATGATCATGAAGAAGTGACACAGCAGGGTATTTATGCATCTATCTACCCCTCTCAGGATGGCACCATTCACACCAATAACGGTGTACCAATAATTCTACCCTCTACCCTCCAATAATGCTGAACTCCAATAATTCTAGCCCTACAATAATTGTGACAACTATTTTAGGACCTGGAGGCTTATAAATGGGACTACACTAAAACCGAACAGCACATGTATACAGTATTCGTTATACAGTATTCGGATTTCCAACACTCCCCCTTGTTGTAGGTTTTAGTGAATTTGGTTTTCTTGGAGGATGGGGTGGATCAGGTGGTGTACCACCACAGAGGTAGAGGTGCTCCCAAACCAAGCTAGGGTTTGGTGTTGACCAAGCTGCTTGTCACTATAGCACTTTTCCCTCTCCAAGCTCTTGGTGCTTCCAAACTCCAACCAAACCACCTTCCCTCACGTTTTCCAATCCCTCCTAACCTCGACATTCCAGATCTAAATCCAAGGAGTAGTGGCTGCTGTTGAGGAAATCCCCTTAACCATGGCGAAATGCCCCTAGCGCACGCCGAATGACTGAAACCGTAAACTTTAAGACACGCGATTGCCACTGCTGCTGACTATATCGCACGCCTGCTGTGCGACGGCGCGAAACCGGAGCGGATGCGCGTCTGCGACGACTGCAGTTGCGGATGACGCGAATCGATAGCGGACCCATGGCGTGTAGTTGGCGCGGAACTGCATTGGCAGGCGCTCACTTCGGGCGAAAGAAGCGACAACATGGCGTTCGTCAGGGGCTGACGATCTGGTGCGCGTCTGCTGCAACATTTTCCTGTCCGCACCTGCTACATCTTCGTGGGCCTTTTCTCCCCCTGCTTTTCTCCCCTTGCCTTTCTCCGTAAACCTTGCCCTTCTCCCGCCGCCTCGTGCTGAGATGGCACAAGGTTGTTCATGTCTTGAATCCACACCAGAGGATGATGCCAAGTCCGCTCTGACTTCACCCATGTTTTCTTGTGATGCCCCCCCTACACTCCAGCTGACACACGGGAGCAGCAGGAGTTGCCGAACTCCATTAGCTGGAGGGTTGCACATGTTGACGCATATGCAGAAATCTGCACTCTATGTGTGCAGTAACGCCCACTCCAAGTATGCAGTGCATACCAAGTATGCAGAACAGTGCACACCAAGTATGTAGTGATGCCCACTCCAAGTATGCAGTTTTGTGGACTCCAGGTATGCAGAAATCTGTACTCCCATGTATGTTCTCCATTCTTCCCTCCGGTGGTGCCGTTCATCAGCAGCAACCATTCGCACGATTCCGACCGGCTGCAATTTTTCTGCTTGCTCCCCCTGACTATTGGTAACACTTGAGCAAGGGAGCAGGTCTTCTCCTTATGCTTCGTGACTCCTCCATCTTTGCCTTGCGTTTTCTCCTCGACGGGCCCATGCTCTCCTTTTGGTGACCTTGATGAATTCTGCTCCTCGTTGTTCCCAGTGCTGCCCGTAGCAGTTGGAGAAGGTGAGCGGTGACTACATGCTTGTCCAGCCATGCGAGGTGGACGCCGGTCACGGTTCGCCTTCGTGATGAGGTCATGATACATCTGCTCCTGAATCATCATACGTTGCAAGGTGAAGCTGTCCGTCACGTTGTGTAGCATTGCCGAGTGCCTCATCTCCTCCCAATGTGCCGGTAGTCCGGTGAGGAGGTTTAAGGTGAATGTGTCCTCATCCACCATCTTTCTCGCTAATGACAACTTGTCCCGAATCGCCATTGCGCGGTTGACGTACTCCTCCACCCTCTCCTTGTTCCCCATCTTCAGATTGTCTAACTGCTTCAGAAGTGACAGTTTCGACACCGAATCCTTTGCCTGGTACGTATCCATTAAGTACTCCCATGCTTCATATGTCGGGCTGTAGGATTCCTGGAACATGTCTAGTTGCAGCTAAATCGTGGCGCTCACGCTGTGCAGTAAGACCCCAAACGCGAGTGCCGCACGCTATGAATAATCCGACTGTAGCATTTCCAGCCACTCCATAGCGTCATCAATGTCACCATTTCCCATGGTAATAGGATACTGCAGGGTCACAAAGAACTCTCACAGATTCGTGACGCGAGCGTTCATACGAAACCGCAGTGCCCACCCCCGGAAGTTGGAGCCGTCAATCGGAGTGGTGGTGAACGCCTTGTCCACCGTTGCTCCCACCATTTTGCGTGACAGCTGTTCCTTTTCTTCATCCGTGTATTCACGTGGAGCGGGGTCGAAGAGAGTTGGCACGGCTGATGGTCGAGGTAGCTGTACCGTGCGCCGCATGTCTCCATTTTGACCACTAAGTTGACGTTCCAGTAATTCCACTTGATCACGTCTCATGACACCGCTACTTTGCATCCCGTGTCCCATCAGCCCCATGTTGTCCACAGAATGTACTCCAATCGGTGGACGTGGTGCACGTGGAGGTACGACGTTGCCTCCATGAAGGTGAGACATGGGCATGGGAAGAACTCCAATGGGATGGGAGTTAGTTGCAAGTCGTCGTAGTGGGGGAGCACCAATAGTGTAGGAGGCGAATCCCACACCTTCCACGCCCACTTGACCATTTCCGTCACTTTGCTGTGCAATCTGTCCACTTCTCATTCCACCATGCTCCATTGCATGCATTTCACTCCCATACTCATCATTCCTCCCCCGTGCTTCCCTTTGCATGGATGATTGAAGTGCGGGATTGGAGCTCCCCTCTCCTTGGATGGATGCATCCCTTCCATGGGATGACTCTCCTCCTTGAGGTATGCCCATTTCCCCTTCACCATCAATTCCTGCATGAACATTTGCACGAGTTTGGTTAGTACGTGGAGTGCTTGAATGAGAGTGTCCACGGGTGGACGGATTGCTGAACTCATGAGAGAGGAGTGTTGCCCTTGGCTCGATTGTCATTCCAAACTTGTCTCTCAACGAAGCTTGGAATGTTGGTGGTGCCCTTGCAATCATGCTTTCCAGGTGCTAATGCTGAGCCAGGATGGCTTCTTCAAAAACCGCATATCCAGCATCCACTTCGCCATCGAAGTGCGCCATGATCTTGATCAAACCGTACACCAAGTGTGTGCTATAAGCGCAAGATTACTTCGGACGTGAAGACCGCGTGTACGAAAGCGTATACTAGGTGTCTGGTACTTTGAGTGTATATAGGTACCTATCCGAAGTGAATGCTAATAACTTTATAGACCAAACTTGGCAGCATGCCCCCCAGAGTAGCTCTGATACCATGCTAGAAAGGCATAGTGCCAGCGTAGTGGAAACGTGCATGTAGAAAAGAACAAGATAGAAATCTTGCATTGATCATTGAATTGTAGAATGATCATGAAGAAGTGACACAGCATGGTATTTATGCATCCATCTACCCCTCCTAGGATGGCTCCATTCACACCAATAATGGTGTACCAATAATTCTACCCTCTACCCTCCAATAATGCTGAACTCCAATAATTCTAGCCCTACAATAATTGTGACAACTATTGTAGGACCTGGAGGCTTATGAAGGGGACTACACTAAAACCGAACAGCACAGGTATACAGTATTCGTTATACTATATCCGGTTTTCCAATAATGGACAGGCTTCTCCTGCAATGCAGGTATCAACAAGACTTTAAGTGTCAATCTTACATCAGTCACATGATAGAAAAAGGCCTCTTCAAGGACCATACTGTACTAACAAATGGTTTCTCTATCATAATGTTATATTTCTCTAGTCTGCAGTAGGGTACTCTATAGTGAGTACAGCCTTGTTAGGGTTTGCTATATGTACTCAACTGCCTGCTAGTGAAATCCCTCTTCTCTGTTTTCATTTCCTCCTTCCATTTCTCCTTCGTGTACCCTAAACCCTAGCCATGGCTACTAAGTCTTAGCTAGGCTTCTAACATGCTATCAGAGCGAGATCGCTCCTGGCCTGTGGGCCCACCTTCTTCCGCTGCTGTCCTGTCTGTCGCGCGCCCCGTGGCGCGAGACGCTTTTTTTTCTTCCCGCCACGTGCTCGAGGCGCATGGCGGTTTTCTGTCCGCCGTGCGCCCCGAGGCGCGCGGCGGTTTCCTGCCCGCCGTGCGCCCCGGGAGCGCGCGGCGGTTCCCCCCGTCGTTCGTCGCGGCACCCTCGGGGGGCTCGTGCGCAGCCCCCTCCCGTCGCCCGTCGTGGCGCCCTCGGGGGCTCGTGCGCGGCCCCCTCCCGTCGCCCGTCGTGGCGCCCTCGGGGGCCCGCGCGGCCCCCACTTCCGTCGCCCGTCGTGGCGCCCTCGGGGGCCCGCGCGCGGCCCCCCCTCCCGTCGCCCGTCGTGGCGCCCTCGGGGCCCGCACGGCCCCCACTTCCGTCACCCGTCGAGGCGCCCTCGGGGGCCCGCGCGCTGCCCCTCCTGCAGCTCGCGAGCCGCCCCTGCAGCCCGCGAGCCGCCCCTGCAGCCCGCGTGCCGCCCCTGCAGCCCGCGAGACGCCCCTGCCGCCTCCT